TACAGTGCATCTTCATCAGTGTTACCCATGCAGCATCCTCATCCCTTTAACCCCCCTCTTCCCTTTTCTTGATTTTGTAGTATACACAATTAACTTTTCACTGTCTTCCCTCCCTTCCCCCCTTCATTCTTCTACCTCTCTCCCTATCCCCCTCTTGCATGTACCCCTTTCCCAGTGCTTATTTTGTTGGGCTTTGACCTTGTCTTTCTAGAAAATTACGCTATTTGAGCTCTCCATAGAGTCTTTTGTATTTCAGTTAATTCATTTGTAACTGTTTACTTACCACCTGGTATGTTTACTTGTAGATTTATAGGCATATTCTATTCACCACAAATGAAGGAAACCATGCAGCCTGTGTTTCTCTGGGTCTGGCTTACTTCACTTAATGAACTTTTTTCCAGGTCTTTCCATTTCCTTATGAATGGTACAATATCAGTTTTTCTGATAGATGAATAGAATTCCATTGTGAATATACATGTATTACATTTTCTTGATCCATTTCTTTTTTTTTTTTTGGTCCGGTTGTGGGGCCTGGGCGCTGTCCCTCAGCTCTTCAGCTCAAGGCTAGCACTCTACCACTTGAGCCACAGCGCCACTTCCGGCTTTTTTCTTTTTGCTTATGTGGTGTTGAGGAATCGAACCCAGGGACTCAGGCATGCAAGGCAAGCGCTCTACCACTAAGCCACCTTCCCAGCCCTTGATCCATTTCTTAATTGAGCTTGTAGTTGCTGTAGTTATTTATGCTGGACATGAATTCCTTATTCAGATAGGAGTGAAAATGGTGTCTCCTCTTCCATAGGTTGCCTTTTTACTGCCTAGTGTGTTTTGCACAAAAGCTATAAGGATCTCCCCTCCCCTCCCCTCCGTTCCTCCTTCCTTCCTTTTGTGGTATTGGGATTTGAACTCAGGCTTTCATACTTTGCTAAGCAGGTGCTCTGCTGCTTGAGCTACATTCCTTAATTGTCTTGGCTATTTTTGAGATAGATTTTTACTTTTTGCCCAGGTTGACCTGGATTGCAGTTCTCCTGTTTATACTTCCCAAGTTAGCTGGGTTAAGAGGCAGGCATTACTGCACCCAGATTTTTAATGGGGGCTCATGAACTTTTTTTTAACCCATACCGGCCTCAAACTGCAATCCTCACAATCTCTACTACCCAAATAGTAGAGAATATCAGGTGTGAGCCACCAGTCTTGGGCAGGTGTTCAGTTTTGATGAAGTCCAGTTTACCTGTCTGTTTCTTTGGTTGCCATACTTAATCATTGCTAAATGCACTATGATGAAGCATTTCCCGCTTTCTTCTAAGAATCTTCTAGTTTTACCTCATTTATTTATTTATTTATTCATTCAGTCTTTCCTTTATTTCTGTGAGATAATTTGTCACAGCAAGAAGGAAGATTATAACTAGTAGCGTCTTCACCCAGTCATTGTCAATAGATCCTGGGAGAGAGTATGAGGGGAGCCCTGGACAGCGCAGTTTGATTCTCTGTGACATGTCCCCAAGCCTGGAAGAGGTTATGGGAGTATGCAGACTAAGTCCTAATTTCAATTTTGATGATTTATCTTCTATATAAGACTTTTTCTCTGCATCTGTTGTTTGCTCTCTTGTGGGTCTGTTGTTTTTAGCTCTTGTTTTCAAACCTTTGATCAATTTTGAGTTGACTTTTGAGGTGATTTAGGTAATGTGGAGACATAGAGTTCCCCCAAGCACTTTTTGTTGAAGGAATGTCCTTCTACTTTGAGTGTTCTTGCTGCTCTTCCTGCTGTGTGTGTATCTGACAATAGTAGAACTTGAACTCAGGGTCTGCGTGCCCCTAGCTTTTCTGCTCAAGGATGACACTCTGCCACTACATCTGGATTTTTTTCTAGTTAATTGGAGATAAGAGTCTCACTGATTTTCCTACCTAAGCTGGCTTCAAACTATGATTCTCAGATCTCAGCCTCCTAAGTAGCTAGGATAATAGACATGAGCCACTAGTGCCTTGCGACTCTTTTGACCATAAAGAAGAGGATATTTTGTGCTCTAGTCTCTCCTTGCTTTCTGCCATTATGTGAGGGTCACATTATTTCAGTGAGTGTAACATTAAGTGTTGATGTGGGAGGTGTGAGTCCTCCAGCTCTGTTCTTTGTTTTCAGGCAAAATAATGCTCTCAAAACTCATGGAATAAACATTTCTTGCAGCTTTACTGATGCCATTGCCAGACAAAAAGGCTTTAAAAAATAATACGGTTTTCCTTTGAAAATAGATAGTGCCAGGTGTGGTGGCTCACATCACTAATCCTAGCCCTTGTCAGGTGGACATAAGGAGGATAGTTTCTCAAGTCAAACCTGGGCAGAATGTTAAGCAGACCTCATGTCAGTCTGTAAGCCAGGTGTGGTGGTGTGCATCTGTCATTCCAGCTACGAAGGAGACCTGAATGGGAGAATTGCAGTCCAGGCTAGCCTGGCTAAAAGTTGAAGCCCTGATCTGAAAAAGAACCAAAGCAAAAAAGTGGCCTAGAAAACAGTAGGCATTAAGAACTCTAGTGGTGCCAAAAATAAAACAAAACAAAAAACCTTAGAAACATAAAATAATTAATAGACAACAAATATACTCCGTCTAGCTAGGCGGTGGTATTTTGTTAATCCAGGAAGGATAAATTTAGTTAGCAATAAGACATAGAAAGGCTTTAATTAAAGGATCATGCTTAATTTTAGAATATAAAAATCTAAATGAACAGTGGTTCACTAATTTATTTCAAGGTAAATACTTGATTGGAAGCCAGCTGGCAGTTGAAGGTATCTTTTTATAGTTTTTCAGTTTCTTAAAATGGCCTGTTAATCGAGGTGTGGGGCTGGCAGAGGTCACAGAGATACAGAGACATCTAAAGCAGGCTCTGGTTTAGTCAGAAGACCGAGAAGGTGAGCTCCCCCCTTCCAACCCCCAAAGAAAAGAGGCAGGACTCCTCATCTGAACGGCAGCTGAGCTGTGTAGAGCAAGGCTGGGGTCCTGACTTACTGGCTTAATTATAGCTTAATTCCAAGATACGGAAGGAAGGAGGATGGAGAGGAGGGATACAGAAGAAGCAGAGTGAGCCCTGGGCAGGTGACTGCTGTGCAGTTACATGTGTGTTTATTATTCTGCTCTCTCCTTTTGAACTGTACCTGCGTGGATATGCACAGCAACCATATGTGCCTGTGTGGAAATGTCATCTACTAACCAGAACGATTTATATGCATGAACAATGGCTATGCTTGAAAGGTTTTACAAGTAATTTTTTAAGAAACACACCTGATTACCAGTATAAAAACTTGGCATTTCATGCCTCCTTGTGTCATGGATTGAGAAGCGATTACCACTTGTACAGAATTGCTGCCCCAGATGTTTAACCTGAACTGAATCTTCATAAAACAATAAGCTCAAACGTCAAATAGTTCTACAAGGCAGCTGTGGGTCGTCTAATAAGTCAGTGTTGGGGAAAACAGTACAAAGGGTTCATAAAAAACAATCAGAAAAGGTCAGACATTGGTGGCTCGTGCCTATAATCCTAGCTATTCAGGAGGCTGAGATCTGAGGATTATGGTTCAAAGCCAGCCTGACAGGAAAGTCCATGACACTTTTTTTTTTGGTCGGTCATGGGGTTTGAACTCTGGGCCTGGGTGCTATACCTCAGCTCTTCAGCTCAGGATGAGAGCTCTGCCACTTGAGCCACAGCGCCACTTCTGGCTTTTTGGGTGGCTTATTGGAGATAAAAGTCTCACGGACTTTCTTGCCTGGGCTGGCTTTGAGCTGTGATCCTCAGACCTCAGCTTCCTGAGTAGCTAGGATTACATGCATAAGCCACTGATAACCGGCTTCCGTGACTCTCTTTATCTCCAACTAACCACCAAAAAGCCAGAAGTGGAGCTGTGGCTCACGTGGCAGAGCATTAGCCTTGAGTGAAAAAACTAAGGTATAGTTCCCAGACCCCAAGTTCAAGGCCTTGTACCAGCATAAAATACAAAAGAATCAGAACAATGCCCAAACCTTGTTTGGATGGCTCCTCTTTGCCCCTTGAAATTGTAGAAAATATATTGGGACCAGCAGTAGATAGTAAGATAATAATGCTAACTAGTAGATGATAATAATGCTAACTATTTTAGGTACGATATCAGGAGACTATCTTCATCTTTGTCAGATGCATGCTCAGTTGTTTGCAAGTGAATTTAGCCTGCCTGCAGATAGATTCTTTAGACAATGTGGGTACACATACATTACATTGGCTTATTCTTCAACTGCTGTTTGCTGAGAGGAATCAGTCAATAGTAGCAATGGCTTATGGTTCAGATTCATTTTTCTTTAAATAGAGAAAGACAGCAAATGTGGTAGCAAGTGGTGCTGGGTGAACAATCTGTGTGTTTCTGGGACCTTTTATGAGTAGTTGATATAGGAAAGTGTGTTGTTGGCAGACACCTATTTCGCAGATGAAAGGCACCTACTGCATTCCTTCTGGGAGTAATTGCCCCTAATCACGTTGAAGTTCTCTTGGAATTGATTCTACAACCACTGAAACTGATTTCTAGCATAGGCAAGAGGGAAAGCCTCTCATGTGAACTGTCATGTCTGAATCAGTGCAACAACAGAAACCAAGAAGTGAAGTGAGAAGGATCAAGAGAGCTAGTGACACTGATAGTATCTTTTTTACATGAGTACCATTTAAGGATGAATGGGTCTACTGTCAGGAAAAAGAGCTCATTGGCTTCTGAGCAACTGGTGCCTGTGGATTGGTGGTCAAGAGATCAAATGGCCTTTTTTGTAGTCATGGCCTTGACATTTGCTATAAATTAGGGTATGTATCTGAAGCCGAAAGAAATCTTCCCCTCTTTTTCTAAGCTGTCAGCTGAAACACTGCGGGTTACCGGGGCTTTCTGGGTAACAATGATAAAGTCATAGGATGCTAATCCCTGTTTCTCTATTAGAGAATTTCCCCTCAGCCATTTCAGCAGCCTGTGTTTTAATCTTCGTCTGCATCCTCAACAGATCCCTAAAGAAGTGGCTGACATCTTCAACGCCCCCAGTGACGATGAAGACTTTGTGGGTTTCCGAGATGATGTTCCCATGGAAACACTGTCATCAGAGGAGAGCTGTGATAGTTTGAACTCTCTGGATTTGAGGAAACAGGTAGGGCTGCTCCCTTTCTGGGCAGGTGTGTTCATCTGGAAGCCCTGCATCTTCACCGGATGTTCTTTTTATTTCTAACGTGGTCCAAGGAGAGTAGTATCAATTAGTTGGCAAGCCCTATATTTTAGAAGCATATACCTTCTGGTTTTCAGAAAGTGTCAAGTGTTCCTGTTTCCTATTTTAATCCTGGCCATATGCAGAATATATCCTTTTAAGTAAGGGGACCTCACATGATCAAATCCATTTTCTTGGCTCCCTCCGGGGTTGTCGCCTGTGGTGAAGCTGCATTCAGAGTCCTCCCACGCAGCAGCAGGGAATGACCAGCCCAGCTATGCGTACCCACAGTGCCCCGAGCACTAAATGTGCTGTTACTATGAGACAATTGCTCCGCTGTGGTCCTGCAGGGAGCTTCTAGCCATACCTCACTCCTGCAATTGCTGGGGAGAGCAGTGTTCTTTCTTTAATTATTTTGCTCAGGAGCAACACAGGTTAAGAGTCCTCTGAGAGTCATGAGCCTGCGCGTTCATATTGTGCCTTAACAATAGACTGGCCAGTGCTTTTATTTATTTTTCTGTGAAACTCAAATGCCTCTTCCTTCCTTCCTTTATAGTCTCTCCTTGAAGGCTGTAGGTATGATGTTAGTGAGGTGTGCCAGGGCTCAGATGACTGTGTGTGTCCGAGCTGTGCTGTCTCAGGCCGCTCCAGTCTCTGTGGTCCTTGTCTTATTTGTTACAGTGTTTGTCCATCTCTTCCCATTTGCGAGTCTCCTAAATGCAGATTTAGATGTTGTCCTTAGATACTTTCACTCCTAGTGATCTTACGTCCTGTTTGCAGCTATTACCCTGATCTTAGTGTGCGCAGTTGTCCTGTGGTGTATTCATGGAACATGGTTCCATGACCACTTGTAAGGAAAACGCAAGTGCCCTGGAAACAGAGTTGGCTCAGTGCTGCGGATGTTCCATTCATTTTCCCCATAATTCCACCCAACTTCTGCTAAACATTCACCCGATGGCCTCATTTAAGCACTTTAAGCACTTTCACTATGCTTTGGGGGCACCACCCATGTTTTGGGGAACATGCTATATTTTCACAAAATTAAGATCAGAGAAGCATTTAGCAGGGCACACAGTGCTTTAAACCCAACCAGTCACAACTGGAAAACTGTGAGCTCATCCATACCAAGTGGATTTGCAAGTTTTGTTCTTGTAATTCTGTTTTTTTTTTTTGGTGGCTCTGGAACTTGAATTCAGGGCCTTGTACATGCTAGGAAGGCACACTTGAGCTATGCCTCCAGCCCTTTTGTGCTTCTATTAATTATTTTTGCTTGAGCCTACCTGAACCATGATCTTCCTGTTTATACTTCTGGATAGCTGGGATGAAAGGTATAACACACTATGCCCAGGTTTTTACTGGGTTAGATGGGGGTTTCATGAACTTTTTGCTTGGGCTGGCCTTGATCTATGATTTTGCCAGTGTCCACAACCTAAGTAACTAGGATTATTGCCTGTGCTAGCATGCCTAGCTTGATTGCTACTTGCTTATTATTATTTGTTTGACTGCTCTTGGTCAAAACCTCATGCAGTCATTCCTCAAATAGGGCAGGATTACTGTATTTCAGTTTAAGGGTGCAGCTAAATCATGTTATTAATGGCATCAGGAATGGTCACCAAAGATTTCCAGGCTACCCCTGCCTCATGGGACCAGCCTGAAGGTGAGAAAATACCAGAGGTTGGAAGGTAGTGACTTGGCTGTTCCAAATCTAGGTCTTATCCTTTTCAAGCTCTGGTAGCAGCTTTGGATATTTAATGAAATTTACACTGGACATCCTTGCTGTACAAAGAGCCCGCAGGGATGGTTCAGGCTCCAGGAACCTGTTGCCTGCATTCACACACCCATTGGGTTCCCCAGCAGCCAGCTGTGTGTCACTCACTCTCATAATGAGCAGCCCTGGCCCACTGCTTGTTGGACTCACACATTTGTGATCCATTTAACCAGCCAACAGAAGCTTCTTGAGATTGTACATAGAATGTGTAGCTGACTCTGATCCCCTTAAATACAATTTGAATGTCACCAAAGAAACTTCCCTTCCGTATGGGTATTTTTTTTTCTCAAGCAGCTGCACCACAGCTATCAACAAAGGAACAAAGTAATTTAGTGCTGAGGAAACTCACTCCAATTACCCATAATAATTTGTAGGAGACATTTTTAAGCTTAAAGAATGCTAGCTGTAGCATTTTTTTCTAACTCTAATTATTTTTCCACTCATCTGCTATTTCTATTCCTCCCCTTCTCCCCATACCCCCCACTAGATATCAGCATTTGAAGAATTGTATAATTAAAGTCAGGGAAAGGCAGGGGGAAATAGGATTGCAAGCAAATGTGGAGTTCTGAGTGGTCATTGCTCCATCCTGGGTGGGAGGAAACTGGGGCACAGACTTGAGCCCGGCTAGAGGACTGTGCCTTTAGGAGACCACCCTCGGTGGGGGAAGTCTCTTCTTTAGGTCTGTCATTTTTTTCTCTCTCCTTTTTGTCACACATGCTAGTCAGAAAGCTGGATTTTCTCTTTGGTAGTATTTTGAGAGGAAGAAAAAGGTCTTTATTGGGAAAAAGTCTTACATGTGTGTGTGGTTTGAGTATTGAAGCCAGATCCCGCGAAGGCTGGGCAAGTTCTCTCCCACCTAAGCCACTCCCTAGCCCTTTTGTTAGCTTTCATTTTTGAGACAAGATCTTTTACCTTTGTCAGGCTGGCCTTGAACTTGGATCCTCCTGCCCTGGCCATTCCCAGCTTGATTTTTTTAAGGGTTACTTACATCTTTTCCCTCTGTTTATGGGCTTCCCAACCATCTTTGCTTACCTTCTGCCTTTTGGGGAGTGCCAACTTTCCATTAGTCCTCATGGCTGACGGCAATGGAGCAAGTCCAGTCTCCCCATCATGGGTTAGAGGGCCCCCAGTAGATATGAAAGGGAAATGTGCTCAATCTCTGTAATGTGTAGTAGTTGGTGTTTTGATTATTGTGACTGGGTCTTATTGTATCGTCTAGGTTGGCCTCAAACTTGAGATCATCCTGTCTTACCTCCCATGCACTGTATTAAAGCCAGTACCATTGTATCTGGCTTAAATGTGTGTTTATGGTTTTTTCTTTTTCTTTTTTTTTTGTGCCAATCCTGGGGCTTGAACTCAGCCCCTGGATCCTGTCCCTGAGCTGTTTTGCTCAAGAGTAGCAGTCTGCCACTTGAGCCACAGCTCCATTTCTGTCTTCTTGCTGGTTAATTGAAGAGTCGAGTCTCAAAAGACTTTCCTGATTGGGATGGCTTTGAATCACAATTCTCATATCTCAGCTTCCTATAAAGCTAGGATTACAGTGTGAACCACTGGTGTTTTGTTTTTCACAATGCCACACCTTCCCTCGCTCCCCAGTTTTTCCCTCCTGTCCCCACCCGCAAGTTGTGGAGTTCATTTTCACGTGTGTGTGTTTTTAATTCAGCAGGATGTGCGAAGTTTCCATTCCAAATATTTCACAGAAGAGCTGAGGAGGATATTTTTTGAGGACACCGACTCGGACACTGAGGACTTTGAAGGCTTTACGCAGAGTGAGCTGAGCACCAGCAGTACCTCAGAAGCCCCGGTAATAACAGCAGTGTGAGACTGTGGGTCACAGAGTTATTGGTTGGTCCTGTTTCTGAGCAGTAGTTTTATTGGGTAAAAGTCTCTTCATCTACTCAGGAGGCTGAGACCTGATGATCACATGCTTCAGAGCCAGCTCCGGCAGGAAAGTCTGTGAGATTCTAATCTATACCTACCGACCAAAAAAGTTGGAGGTGGAGCTGTGGCTCAAATGGTAGAGTATTAACCTTGAGCCAGAAAGTTTAGAGTGCCGAGACCTTGAGTTTGAGCCCTTGGACTAGCACCAAAAAAACCCCCCAAAATCACTTAGAAAAAAGTTTGGCTTCTATTTATCGTCAAAACTAACCTTCAAATATAAAAGTCACACCAGCAGGATTGATCCCTTGGCCACCATTCATTTCTCTCAGAGACAAGCAAGGTGGCTTTCAGTTGTCTTGAGCCTCTGCAGCCTTGGTTTAGAGTGTGGTATGGTGCTGGCTTTGAACTGCCTCAGTTCTCAGCCTCCTGAGTGGCTAGGATTACAGGTGACAGCTGCCAGGGCCCAGCTGATGTTTCTTCTTTAAAGGTCTCCTAGGCATCAGTTAATCTGTCCTGTCCTTCAAAAAAAAAAATAATTCCCCCTTCTGGTGGGAGAATGTTATTGCTTCAGTCTCATTACTGAGAGATCTGTGTAAATAGTTTATATCCTCTTGGTTCAGGTCCTGTGTGTTTCAAATTTTATCCATTCTTGGCTCCCTATTTCAGTGGTATCTGTATACCTCTCTTTTCACAGCTTGATAAGGTGCTGTCACTCTTGTTTATCTTTACAAAAAATCAACTCTGATGTGTTAACAGTTTTTTAGTCTCCTTTTCATTGATTTCTACCCTGATTTTATTCTACTAATTATGAGTTTGGCTTGTTCTGTTGTTGTTGTTGTTGTTTTGTGCTGGTCCTGGGGCTTGAACTCGGGGTCTTGGCACTGTCCCTGAGCTTATTTTGCTCAAGGCTAGCACTCTACCACTTGATCCACAGCTCTACTTCCAGCTTGTAGGTGGCTAATTGGAGATAAGTCTCAGACTTTTCTGCCCAGGCTGGCTTTGAACTGTGACCCTCAGATCTCAGCCTCCTGAGTAGCTAGGATTACAGATGTGAGTGACGGGTGCCCAACGGTTCTTGTATTTTTTTTTCTTTTTTAAGAGCTTGAACTATTACATAATTTTTTCTTCTTAAAGAATCTGGTATTTTAATGTAGGCAGTCTTATCTATAAACTTCCTCTTATCATTATATTCACTGTATCCCAGAGGTTCTGACAAGTTGTGTTTTCATTTTCACTTGTTTCTAGAAAAGGTTTCTAATTTTTTTGATTATACTAAGATTTGATCTCAGAGCCTTGTACTTGGGAAGCTTTTTTGTGTCTTTTTTGTTTGTAAGATAGGGTCATGCATTATTTTTCTTTTTTTATTCCGGCTGCCTTACCTTGCAGTCTTCCTGTTGATGTCTTCCATGTAGCTGGGATGACAAGCTGGCATGCTCCATGCTCAGCTTATTGGATGAGATGGAGTCTCACTAACTGTATCCCTGTGTGAGCCACTGTGCCAGGCTTGACTGTAGAAATGTCAAATTCTCCTCACCTACCAATTTCTTCTATGATCTACTAATCATTCAGACTTTGTCTCCACTTGTTTTTATAGTTCATATAGTTTCTCTTGCTCATGGTTTCCAATTGTATTCTATTATGATCTGATAGGAAACCAAAAATGATTTATTTTTATTTGTTAAGACTTGGTTTATCGTCTTAAATGTCTGTTTTAGTGGAAGTTCTCTGGGTTGCTGAGAAGAAAACATATTCCACAGCTATTGGGGGTAGGGGCTCATGTAGAGGTGTAAGTCCATTTGATGTATTATGGCACAGTTAACTCGGAAGTTTCTTTGTCTTTTTGTCTCAATTGTTGACATGAGCTGGGTATTGAGATGTTCTACTATTATTGTATTTGGACATGCCTGTACCATTATGCTAGATATTTGTTTTCATAAAATTTCACTGCACCAACATTTGGTGTGGATATATTCCCAGTCCATCTCCTTATGACCTTCTTCATCCCTTCTGATTAATTTTGGCTTGTAGTCTGCTTTGTCAAAACACGAGGAGAGCTATCCTGCTTGGTTCAGATTCCATTTGCTTAGTATCACTTGCTTTCTATCCTTTTACTTCTCAAAATGTTTTTGCTAGTGAAGAGAATTACTTGGAGACAAGGCATAATCAGAGCTTATTCTATATTCCACTCCACTAGTAGTTTGTCTTTTTATCAGAAAAATAAGATCATTTATCATATGTTTTGTGGTACTGTGAGAAAAGCTATCAAGGGAAGTTGCTTTCTTTCTGTCAATTTTGTGAAAATTCTTTTTCTGAAAAGTTCCTACTTTGGCCAAATGGCTTGTCTCTTGTTGATTAAATTTTAGTTACATCCTAGTCTGCTTCTGTTAAGACATCCTATTGAAAGCTCATTAAATTTTAGCTACATCCTATTCCTGTTCCTGTCAAAACATCCTATATAAGCTCATTAAGTTTTTATTTAAATCCTATTCCTTCTCCTATTATGACATTCTATTTTTGTTAATTAAGCTACATTCTATTAAAAAGTTTCTTTTTACCCTCCTCAAACTAGCCAGTTGTGAGCTGATTGTCAACCAAAGCTTGGCCTTTCTAGCAGAGGGGCAGGGCCTGTTGTACTGGGGATAAAAAGGGAGCAGCCCACATGCTTTCTTGCTTGGATTTCTACTGATAGTACATACTTTTACATAGCAGTAATTTTGCTTTGCTGAGACAATTCTTTGTTTTTGTGTCTCCAATTATTGACTGCTGTGTTTCTTGGAGTGCCTGTAACAGTACTAGAATTTGAATTGAGGAGCTCACGTGTGCTAGGCAGGGACTCTACCACTTGAGCCACACTCCAAACCTCTTTTCCCTTCTCCTACCCCTCTTCCCCACCCAGATAGGGTCACACTTTTGCCTGAGGCTACTCTTAGACCATAATTCTCCCTATCTGCATCTACCTCCCCCATAACTAACACAATAGGTATATTTCACATGTAGGTGACTTTATTTTTGAGATAGAATGTTAAATTTTTTTTTCCCAGGCTGGCCTTGAACTGACAGTCCTCTGATGTCTGCCTCACATGTAGGTAGAATTACATGTATCCTCAATTATGCTCAGCCTACATTTAGGGTTAATATTGAAAAATATATAGTTTCTCCCTTTGTCAGTTTAGTAGTTTGCTGGCTGAGTTAATAATATTTGGTTCTCATTTGTTTATGTAGTCATCGAAGATGTATTATTTTTTGAGTTCTGCAGCTTGGCATATTTTTTTGTTTCTTTTCTGGGTACAGCATTTCTATATGTATGTTCTGCAGTACTGGCTTAGTGGTCATAATTGCTTTAGTTGATGCTTATTGTGAAAGATCATTAGTTCTCCTTCGATTTTTAAAGGATAACTTTGCTAGATATAGTAGTTTTGGCTGACAGTTACTTTGTAAAATACATCAGTCCAGGCTCTCTCTTGGCCTTTAGAGTTTCTGCTATTGTGGAGTTTTCTCTTTGTCAGAAGCTTGCCTTCTTTTGCAGCTTTTTTGGTATTCTTTCTTTGCACTGCTCTCTTGGTTTCTTTTCTGGTCATGTTTATTTGGGTTCCAAATGTATCCTGTATGGATATACATTTCTTTCTCTGTATGTTTGGGCAGTTTTCTGCTATCATTAAATAGGTTCTCTGTGCTTGCAGCCTGTCACTTACCTATACCACACACAGATGGATAAGTTTTGTCAGTTTATCTAGACATTTTCAGCATTTGTAGTCATGGTTACCTTTTCCCCCTTCATTAAAGCCATCTGAATGTCACAATTTCTTCACTTGTCTTTAGTCTCTGAGATTGTTTTTCTGCTTGTTCTATTGTGTATTGATGCTATTGATGAGTTTTGTTTATTGAGATTTCATTTCCATATGTTTGTTTTTCAGAATCTTTGTTGGAGTTTTTTTTTGGTCTAAGTTTTGAACTGAAGTTTTTTCTCTGTTTATCTGAGTCATCTTGGAGTTCATTGCTGTGTGTGTATGTACTGGTACTGAACTGAGGCCTGGGCGCTGTCCCTTAGCTTTTTTTGCTTCAGGCTGGTGATCTACCACTAGAACTTCCACTTCCAGCTTTGTGGTGGTTAGTTGGAGCTAACGGTCTTGGGGACTTTTATGCCTGGGTTGGTTTCAAATTGTGATTCTCAGATCTCAGCCTCTTGAGTAGCTAGGATTACAAGTGTAAGTTACCAGTATTCACCTCCTTGATCATTTTTGCAAATAGACTTTAAACTCTTTGGCATTTCAACCATTTCCTTATCTTTGGATTCAGTTATTGAACAAGTAAAGGTTTCTGGAGGCATCTTATTGCCTTTTTCATATTTCTTATGTTTTTGTCTTTGTGTTTTGCTGTTGGAGAAATGTCTCTTCTGCCTTCCTGTGGGGTCATAATGAGCAGATGGGCTCAGTCTCTAACAAACCACTCACAGCAGCACCCTCAAAACAAACCAGATAGGGAAAGAATGAAGACCAGGTTAAAGAGAAGGAGCATACCACTAACAGCAAGAGAAACAAAAGTAGCAAAAAATAAGGTAGAACAAACTATGAAATGAAAAATGCCCAAAAGTAATAACAGAAGGAAATAAAGGAGAGGGTCAGGATTAAGGAGAGAAAGGAGCAAGGTTCAGTAAGAGTGAGGAAAAAAGGCAAAGATCAAGCGATTAAAAACACCTGACAACAAAGAAATATGTGAATACAATTAAATGAAGGTAGAAAGGAATAAAAATATTTTAAAAAGGAAGTAATGTAGAAACAAGAGTAAGTTATAGTAAGGAAGAGGGGAAAAGCAAAAACAAAAAAGCAAAGCCAAAATCCGACTCAAAACCAAAAAGACCAAGAAATAGTGAAGCTCCTTCCCAGGCCTCTAACACTGGAATTTGCCAGGTCTGTGGTAGAGGGAGCCCGATATGCTGTGTCTGGAGTCCTTCGTCCATAATGATGGGTGTGGGCCAGGCAGGGAGTCCATCAGGGATGTCTTCACTTTAGAAACTTCCCTTCTGTCCCTACTAGGAGCCACTGCTGCCCCCCCCCCCCATCAAGCTTTGTGGTTTGTGAGCTGGGCACATTCCCAGTCATCCCCAGAACCTTTGCTCCGCAGTTGGTACACCCTGGGTAGCACACCTCCAAGCTGGGGGATATCGCCAAGAGTGCTGGAGAGTGGAGCTAGGAAACAGCACTGAGCTCCACACTGGTTGAGGAGAGACAGGAGAAGCTCCTGGCATGCTTCCTGTCAGTCCCAGGGCTTTTAGACCCTGTCCTGGGGTAAACTACTCTACTGGAGGGAGAAGGCTGTGGACATTAGTCATCTGCCAGTGCTGGGCTCAGCTCTCGATTTCTGTGATAGTTCACAGGCGATAGTGCTCGTTCCTCACTGCTGAGGGAGTTGTACTGCTTACTGTGTCCTTCATAGCCTCAGCTCTCTGCTGCTTCAGCTTTCCTCCCTCTGTACAAACGTGGCTGTTTTCTACCAGGCCCTGTGGCAATGTGTTCCCAGGCTCCCGGATTTATGACTGATGCTTGTTTTCAGGTTCTTGGAGTATCCCAGTCTCAAACAATAGATGGTACCAGACTATGTAAAGTTTGGAGATTCTGAGGTCAACAGATGCTTTTCTTCTCCAGTGCTGGCTTGCCATGTGGGAGTCACTGTCGCCAAATCCCCACACTGGAGCTAATGGTTTCTTACACAGCTTGGGTTGCTGATCTCTTGTCATCCGGGCTGTGGGCTTCACCTGTCCTAATGCCCCTCTGTGTGTCTATGTCCACCCATCCCTGGAGCTTGGGTTGGACTGTTTCCCATTTTTCCCTGGACTGTCACTTTTTATGGTTTCCCTGTGCTTTTTAGCTATCTTGTGTCCAACTTTGTGATTCCCATCATTTGCTCTGCTCTGTTATCTCAACTCTTACTCTGGAGTCACATGGTGGAAACTGCTAACCTGCCATCTGACTCCATAACAATGTATTCTTATTTCTCTACTTGGTAAGGTGCAGGTTGGCACACCAGGGCTGGCAGTCAGCTGCCTTTTCTCTCCCTCCCTCACAATGAGTCCAACTAGAATTTTGGTGAGGAAGCAGCCAAGTCTTCAGCTGGCTCCAGGCTGTTGCTTCTCTGCTCAGGGATGTCCCTTTCAGCACTCTGAATGTGGTTCCCAGGGTGAGTTTACTCACGTGTGGTCCATGAAAGATGCCTAGGAGATGTGTCCTTGATGGCAGATACTGAAACCTGTCTGTCTTGTTTCTCAGAGTCCCTGATGAATCTCAAGCACTTCCGTTACCTCAGTGATAGCACACTGTCACAGCCCCCTAACAGTATACATTTATAAAACCAAGGCATTCACAAGGCTTTCACATTGTACTATGTGGAGTTTAAAAAAAAAATGTGGGTTAGCCGGGTGCTAGTGGCTCACACCTGTCTATAATCCTAGCTACTCAGGAGGCTGAGATCTGAGGATTGCAGTTCAAAGCTAGCCTGGGTAGGAGAGTCCTTGAGACTTTTTAATCTCTATTTAACCTTCAGAAAGCCAGAAGTGGAGCTATGTCTCAAGTGGTAGAATGTTATCCTTAAGCAAAAAAGTGCAGGGGAATCGCCCAGGCCCTGAGTTCAAGTTCCAAGACTGGCATGCACACACACCACACACACACACATATACACACAAACACACATGCAAAATTGTGGGGTGAGACTTTCTTGTGCTATCTTGACTGACTGGTACTCTGCAACAGCCTAGAGCGCTGTCTGGGTAGAGAGGGAGCCTGTCTCTAGACTGAGGGCACACTGGGCCTGAGGACATCTCCTACAGACCTCATTGGCAGGTCCTCTGCTTACTACATGGTCACTGGGGGAAGGTGGCTCTCCTGCCATGAGCTGTGTTTCTGCTGGTTGAGCTGATGTGCTGGGATTCATGCTTGTTTCTGGCTTGTCTGAAGATCACTCTCTTGTCATTCACGTGCTCTTGACTACTCTCTTTCCACTGGGCTTCGATGTGCCAGAAGCTTGCCCAATATGGAGGATCTCAGTGTTGTCAGGGTATTATTGCTCAATCCCACAGCAGCCTGTCAGTGGTCTGGACTGGTACGTGGTTCAGTGCTTTGAGCTTTGAATTTACTAGCATGCTTTGTGGATTTAAATAAAGATCTCAGGGATAAATAGTAATAAATAACAAGCAGGAAGCTTTTTACTACCTCTCTTCTTCCAAACAAAACCAAAATGTGTTTTGTTTTTTATCTTTTTTGGTGCCACAGCACACTATTGAGCTCTATATTCTCCCAGCCTCCACAGTAGTTTTCAATGCATGTTGGTTTTGTTTTGGGGGTTTTGGGTTGTTGCTTTTTGCTTTCTGGCAGATCTATTAAAGACCACATGTTTTTCCTCTCTTCCTTTGGTAGCTCATGGCATCAGATTTGAGTGAGGAGGAGAAAGCATCTCAGGCTAGAGAGGAAGAGGATGAAGCCATCCCTACAAGAAGAAGGTCTCAAAGAAGCAGCCTTGGTCTTCGAGTGGCCTTCCAGTTTCCCACCAAGAAGTTGGCAAAAAAGTCAGACAAAAATGGCTCTTCTGAACTATCGTTTCCAAGCTCACACTTACAGGACAGTAAAAATATCCTTGGAAGAAACAGAAACTGTAGAGCGGCACAGGAAAGGGATGATTCTGCGTCGGAGTCGGAGGATGACTTGAGGGATGAGAGCCAGGAGAGCTCAGATGCCCTGCAGAAGAGGACCATGAACATCAAGGAAAACAAGGCCATGGTAAGGCCTGGGTGGGCTGTGTCTGCTGGGAGCGGGCAAGTCTGACAGCAGCTGAGAGGCTGATGAGCATCTCTGCCCCAGAAGCTGCTCTCAGGAAGGTGTCCTCCAAGGGCCTTGTTTCCCTTTTCTTGAACCCAAGGCAATTATTACACGATTACCTCTGGTTTGGGAATAGAAAGACTCTAGCACCATTTCTAGCCCCTTACCAGGGAGTAGGAACTGAAAAAAATTACTGTATGTCAGGTTAAGCTGGAAATCAGCCATGATATTGGCCAGGGTGGTGGTGGGGGATGCGGGGAATTGGACAGATGCATTCTTCAGGCAGAAAGTAGCAAAGAGGAAATTATCTCTTGGCTATCCCTAAGCCTAGTTGCAAAGGAGGAAGGTGGTTTTTGTCTGGAAACTGCTTTCCTGTGAAGACACCATCTGAAGCATGGGGAAAAGTCCAGAAATTAAAGCAACCTCAGTGGTTTTAACTCACTTTTAAAAGAAGTTTTCATTAGAAAAAATATAAGAAGGTGAAATCTTTAACTGGTTTTGTCTTTTTCTGTAAGTGGTCAATAACTAAAAATTTTAAAGAGTTTTACCACTCAGAATCACTTTCTTCATTTTGGGATTCTTTTTTAATATTTTCCTTGTAAACAAATATAATGTGTTACTGTATTTGAGATCATATATCTATGAGTTACTTAGGAAAACTCAAATGTCTACTTTGGGGTAATCTTTACCAATGTGTGGTTGGCTAAAAGAAAGTTGTGTTGTTGTTGTGCTAATAGTGGGACTTGCTCTCTTACTTGCTCACAGCTGGCACACCCTATCACTTAAGCCATGCCTTCAGTTTGCTCTTTTGCTGGCTAACTGGAGATAGTCTCAGAGTTTTCTGCCCAGGCAGACTTCAAACATCAGTCCTCTGATTTTGGTCTCCTGGGTAGCTAGGATTATATGAACCGTATCCACCTATATCCTTTCTAGTAAGAACTATTTTTTTTGTGTGCTATATACATATAAATCTAACAGTTATCCAATATAATTAGAAAAGAATCCTAATTATATTTTCTGGTTGGCGTGTTGCTTGGTATGACTAGATATTCATTTCAAAATATCTTCAGAAATTATTTTTAAATTATGTTATGAGGAGTCAGATTCTTAGAGTTAAAACCATGAATTATAATCATCTAGTTAAGCCTTTTGCTTTTTTGGACACACTGAAAATTTGAGACCCAGGTATGTAAATTTGTCACACTGCTAAATTTGGTGGCTGAGTCAGGATCTGAAACTCATGATCTTGGCCTTGGACATTCTAGAATTGTTTATTGTTTCCCGTTGTTTCTGTGGGATAAGTTGGCTCAGATGAATGATGCCAGTTTTCTTGCTGCTGGAGAGAAAATCTTTTCCTTGTGAGGACTGCTAAGGTTTTTGCAGAGTACCTGAGTAGGAAAACAGAAGGCTTGTGGCAAGGGTTGACTGTGTAGACCTGACAGCAAATGATTGATGTGAGATCCTTTCTTTTGTTCTAACCCCAGCTTGCTCAGTTATTGGCAGAATTGAACTCAATGCCAGACTTGTTTCCAGTACGAACCCCAGCCTCAGCTTCTGTAAGTAGAACTCCCTCTAATTACTCAAAGGTTCTGGTAACCAGTCCATTATGAGCCCCCAGTTACGTGTGTCCATGTTCTTGGTTTCAGAAGAAGAAAACAACACGGCGGGCCTTCTCAGAAGGACAGATCACACGGCGTATGAACCCAACCCGGAGTGCACGACCCCCAGAGAAGTTTGCGCTAGAAAACTTCACCCTCTCCACCACCAAATTTGCAGAAGAGTTTTATACTTTGAGAAGAAGGAAGACAATCAGTGGGGTATTTTCCTTGGCCTATATTCATTGATTCTCAAATGGGGACAGGCATGGTGGATACAGGAGACCTGTAGCGTTGAGAACTTTTCTTAACGTGTGATCATGTTCTGGATAGTACATTTTGAGATGATCCCTGGGCTTAGCTGAGGGCTGTGTCTCAGTAGTAGAACCTTGCGCATGCATGCAGGAAACCCTAGATTTGATTTCATAGAACCACAGAAACAAAGCTACAGGCACTAAAGGGCTCCAGCCAGCTTTGACGTTCTGCAGGATGGAAAGTAGCGGATTTTCCCAGGCTAAGTGGATTCAGTAATGGGCCTTTTGTGTGCCATCAATCTGGAGGGAGATTCTGTGGAGCCTTCACACTGTAGGCTTGGCCTCTTACGTGGTTCGCTTCTAAGTCTCCATAGCATGAACAGAACCCCAGAGCCCAAGCCCCTCCTTTATAGCTGTGCCACTTCCACGAAAGAAAACTTGATGTAGGACAAATGCCTACTTAGTGCCTCTGTCAATACTAAAGAGGGAAGCTGTCAGTGTAAATAGTGATGCTAGGTCTCTTGAGAGGTTGAGATTGTTATACTATTTTAAACTGCCCAACATGTATCTAATTCCAAGTTTTGTTGTTCATTTTGCAGGGAAAATGCCAGAAGTACAGACAGCGCCGTCGCCTGTCTTCTTATCGCCCAGTGGAGGATATTACTGACGAGGACTTGGAAAACGTTGCCATAACCGTTCGGGATAAAATCTATGATAAAGTTCTGGTAAGAAAGATATCTTACGAGTAATCCCCATAATTGTGACTCAAGTGTGAGTCCAAGACATTGGTATTTGAAAGCCTGGATTGTGGATTGTGTTTAAACTGTGTTGGGGCTTTCATGTCTACTCCCCAAATTTAGGATTAAGAGTTACAATAACCAGGAAGACAGTGCAGTGAACCTCCTCAGGAGAGAGGGCTCCCTGAGCATGCCCAGAGTCTGGGTGGGGGAAGGCAGGTAGGAGGAGAGTTTAGAGAAATGTGTGTGTGTATACAATTGTTATTATTGTATCTTACAATAGTGAAAAAGTATACTGGAGGGCAATAGTCAAGAAAAAGGAGAATTTTTAGTAAGAAATGAGTTAAGATTTCTTCTAAATGATGGTTTAGAGGGAGGCTTTGTGGTTGTTTTCTTTTTCCTTTTGGAAAAGTAACAAACAGCTCAAAGTATTGTTAAAATGTCTGTAGTTGAATTGCCAACATTTTAAAGCCAGGAGGATTTACACTGAAGGCCTTCATGAAGGCTCCAGCCTCAGTCTGGAATGGATGGGGGCTTGTCATCACCCTGTCACCTGGATGGGGTCCGTTCATCGCTGCCCCAGTTGCTCCTGGTCACTCCTCCATCAGCCTGGAGATTTCATTCCTTTTGACCTTCCTGCTCAGCCTCATCTGCCCCAGGGTATTTCTCTGGCCCAGAACTAAAGGGCTTCCAGTGGAGGGCGCCATATTTTATCCTAGGCCACTGGTGGTTGTTGGTAAGAGAGGTAGGGCTGCCTTGGTAATGTAGTAACGGCGTTCCCTGGTGCCCCAGGGTAACACTTGCCATCAGTGCCGGCAGAAGACCATTGACACTAAGACGGTGTGTCGGAACCAGGACTGCTGTGGTGTGCGAGGACAGTTCTGTGGGCCATGCCTGCGCAACCGCTATGGGGAGGACGTGCGAGAGGCCCTGCTAGACCCGGTAGGAGCAGCGAGTGTTCTGGGCATACGGGCTGTGCACGTGGGTGACCCATACCACAGAGTGCTGCTGCACGTTCCCCCCTCCATCTCTCACTCTGAGGAAGTGACAAATGGCACTTCTTCTGGGAAGAGGGTATACTCACTGACAGGGTGGGAGAAAAGTTTGGATTTACTGGATGCTCCAGGGTCTGTGTTCTCATCCTCTTCTGTAGTAGTTATATACAGGGTGGGGTACAGGGCAGGGTCCATGTTCTGTCCCCAGTTTATGGACATCCAGTCAATGCTAAGTGGTTTAACAGTGCACACAGGTAGCAGAGCTGGAATCTATACCTCCATCATTAGCAAATCTTGAGCTTCTAGAACCATAGAGGAGGGTACTGCAAATGTCTAAAAGCTTGAAACTCTCCATAGTTTCTTAACAGAGGCTCTGGAACTAATCCTATACAGCTGATGACCTTGTCTAAAAAAGACACGTTTTTGTGTGTGACATAAGGTGGTCAGCTTTGCATTTGAGAAGGAAGGTCACTGGTGCATGGGCTAACTATACCCTTGTAGGCTGAAGGTCCCCTGTAGCACAGTCTGGAAGGGCTATATAACTAAAACTGGAGGAGAGGGAGAGCCAGGCTTGATTAGAATCCATGGTCTGGCGAGAGACTGTGGGAGAAATGCGCACCCTCATTTTTCATGTAGGATTGGATGTGCCCTCCCTGCCGGGGGATCTGCAACTGTAGTTACTGTCGGAGGCGCGACGGCCGCTGTGCCACAGGGATCCTCATTCATCTGGCTAAGTTCTATGGTTATAATAATGTTAAAGAATATCTGGAAAGGTAAGTCTCCAACAACTTAAAACTAGGGGTTTGTGGCTCCTGGAGTCCAGTGTGGGGTCACTACTGTTCTTGATTTACAGAAACCCCCTTGAAATCATCCATTGGAGAAGCTCAGGCCTATTTATTTCCCTAAGAGCAAGTTCTTCCTTTGCTAGATTTTCAACTCCCTACTTCCTTGAACCAAAAATTTCCCTTTATGGTAAAAAGGAACTGGAGGGAATAGACAGTGCAGGCTGAGACTGTAAGCACTGCCAGGCAGTTATAACAATAATGAGCAGAGAGAACGGGCAGTAAGTCACTTCTGTGACGAATTCTGAAGTCATGGGATGAGTGATGCCTGGAAGGAGCTCTGCCATGGTCTTTGTACTTCATTTACAACAATACACATGGCAGAGTGGAGAAGTCGTCCTGAGGGCAGACTCTGTGGGTTTGAAAAGGAGAGAGAGTCAGGAACTGGGGTCGTCCTGAGGGTAGACTCTGTGGGTTTGAAAAGGAGAGAGAGTCAGGAGACTGGGGTGTATATTCTGAAGATGGAGTTCTCAGAGCTCTCTAGCCTAGAGAATGCTGCTTTGTGATTGCCTCTGTGTGATTACCTACTAAAAACACTTCTCATCTTTCCCCAGCTTACAAAAGCAGCTGGTAGAAGACAACTGAGAGGAAAAGAGTATCAGTCAACTCACCAGAGTACTCCAAGAATGCATATCGTTGATGCCTAAGATTCCTTACACTTGTGTTTTTATACAGAAGGTTATTTTGGAGATTTTTACTGTTCCTAAATACTATCTTTAAAAAAATGTTTATATGCTTAAAAAGATTTCTCAGGAAAATAGAAGAGGAATCTATATATACATGCTGTACAGACCTGCGTTGCCATATCTGTCAGTGACTCAAAAGCACAATTTAAATGGGGTGGAGTTAAAAGTCCAGGTAAGTTTACAGAGGAAATCTGCATAAACAGTTTTTACCTTTGGCACTGTGTAATTCTCTCATTCCCCCAGCCATTTTAACAGGCTTCATTACTTTTGGTTTGCCTTATTCTGAATGACTGAGCTCAAACCACAGTTTATCTTGCTGTGAGCCATTGGAAATTTATCCTGAATGTTCCCCTAAATTACAAAGTGCAATTAACCACAGAATGTGAGAGTTACTGTTAGAACTTACCAGAAGTGGACTGTCAAGGTACAGACACTGGAGGGCTCAGAGTGCCTGCTGCTTTTAAAAGATTTTAAGGGTTAATTTAAAAAGATGCATAGCATATACGAACTAGTTCCCTTCCCCCACTCCCACAGTTGTATTGCTCTTGAGGTTATGAGTATGTTCAGTGGAACCTTGGTGAAAATGTAAGACACTGTACTACTTTAAGTCATGGCATGTCAGAGAGTTATTAGGGAAAGCTAAGAATGAGCACAGATAGGGCCAGGTTTCTAAGAGTTTTCTCTATATTTGCTACTCTTTCAACTACTTAAGGATGATGTCACAGAATCAAAAAGAATGCACATGTAAATTGCTAAAAAAAAGTTCCATAAGCTGGAATGTTTTATACCTTTCAGTAGAATAGAATCAGGTGCATGGGAGCCGTGAGGCCCACAATGCCCCATCCTTACTGTACCCAGCAGAGGCAGGAGCAACGCAAGGCCCAGCAACCAAAGCCATCTCATGCTTCAAGCAACAGAGCCACGCCAGCCAGCACCCATTTAGCAGCCTTCTCTTTGCTCTTCAGTCTGAAAGTCCAGACGTAGGTAGAGCCTCTCATTTTGGTTTTATACACAGGGCATTCGTAGGTTTGTCTGGTTTCTTGTCTGTCCATGGGTATGGCTTTGGCAAAGATGACTGGCATTGTCGACCTCAACTCCTTGAGGTGGGCTTCAACAATGGATCCTGCCTGGGTGTCCCATCTGGCACCTGGGGTGAAATTGCAAGGCATGTTGGTACTGATGTTCTAATTGTTGGGTTCAATAAATGTACCAGTTTTGTCATGTCTTTACCTGGCAGTGGTGTCTTGACCTAGCTGACCATGACTAGGTTGGAGAGAGATTAACTTGCTGCTCCTATGCATAGATATTATTCCTTGACTAAAAACACTTTAATGAAAATAGATTCTATAGAAATTCAGACGCCATTTTACCAAGAAGGCCAAGACCTGTCTGGGCAGACAAATATCTGAGATTTATATTTCTAATTAACTAGCTGGGAGTAGAGGTGTGACTCGAGGGGGAATGCTAGCCATGGGCAAAAGAGTCGGAGTTGAAAGCACTGAGTTCAAGCCCTGGCACACACACAAAATATCTCCAATTCTGTCTTATTAGACTATTCTAATAAGAGATAATCTCTTACACAGACTTTAAAGTACAAAAGGTGTTCTTGGCAAAGACTAGCTGTCCTAAAGAATCTATGCATAGCCAAATAAATTTGGAATATTTTGCATTCTCAAGTCCCCTCTGAGAGACAAAAAAAAGGATAACATTCTTTTCCACCTTCAAGAAGTTTGGTGGAACATATTAGAGCAAATGTAGTGATAGTTTTTTTTAAAGTAGAGAACAAATCTTGGATTGGTTAGGAAATCAGAATAAGTCTTGAGGTATTCCAGGGCATTAACGGATTCTCCATCTGTAGTATGTGAAGAATCACCTCAAATTACCTCAGAATCTGGCTCACATGAACCCACATCTTGTGTGTAAGTTGCTCAAGGGAAAAAGAAAAAGCAAGAGAAACCCTGTGGTAAGGTGAGTGGATTCTGAGGAGCAAGCCTCGCCATCAGAGGCGTCACCCGTGTGCTCTGAGGTGTCTCACCTTCCATGAGGAGCCCGTGGAGGTATGCGCCTTCCCTTGGGGGGTGGCCATAATCTTCCTTCGTTTTTTTGGTCACATCGATGGTCAGGCACATTCTGTCCAGTGGCCACTCATTTTTTCGAGCCATGGTCTGCATGATCGCTTTGGGAGGGAAATGAAGACTTGAAAAAGCTGTATGTATATACACATTCCCATCAGCTGCAGTGCCGCCTGCAAGACCACCTGAGCTTTCAGTCCAAGTATACCGAACAGTCATAGCCAGTTGTCTATAGTTCTTATAGTACCAGCAAAGTGGGAAAGTGACAGGCTATGAGGCCCTCCACCTAGTGCACCTCACCCCTGCACTGTTTTGTGTCTTTTACACCCATCCCTGCTTCCCTCTCAGTAGAGGCAGCTGCCTGAGGACTGGCAAGCAGGGCAGAGACACAAAAGCATCACAGAAAGAACAAGGCTGGACTCCCATCAGGGTGTAGTCTTGTCAGTAGTCAGACTTCAACTTCACCTGTTAAGAAGGACTGAGGGTTGAAGAAGCCGGAAAGCCACACGACAGCGGGGAGGGCAAGGTCTTGTGTCCAGGTGTCAAGTTCTCGGCAGCGTAAGAGGAGGTCATTAAACCTGGTTAACCCAAGGTGGGAAGAAATAAACATGGTTTTAGTGAAATGGATATCTTACGGTAAGACCGTGGAGAAGGTAGGAAGGGTTGGGTTTGTAGGGAAGTACAGCACTGATAACTGATGAAGTGCTTATCTGGTGATTTGTGGGCCATTGTCTCTTTAAGGACTAGCTGTGGCTGTTTTGTACCTGCAGTGTGTACAGCTGTTAACCATCAGGACAGGACACAGTAGGAAAACTACCCAGTTATTTTATTTCCATCCTGCTGCTGTGTGGTGAGTGTGCTTAGGTCATCTCTATATGAATTGGGCTAACAGTTGAGGTCGGGAAGCTGTGAGCATTCCTGAGGATGTGGGAAGGAAGCTGTGATGGTCCTTGAGACCAGGTAGAAGGAATGCAGCATGGGAGCGAACTCTTGGGGTAATCACTCAAATGGGGAAAAGGTCCTAAGGAGATTCATCTGCCATCCATGCTCGGCTCTGAGAAACGTGTTCTTTCATCTAGTTCTCACAATTGGGTGAAGTATAAAATACCAAATTACAAGGGAGCTGGCTCCTGGAGGCCAAGGAAAAGAAGAGGCTCTGGTAAAATTTGCAAACAGGAGAAATCTTGAAGCCTAGGCTTAAGGACTGCTAAGAGGACAGGGGGAGATAGAGCAGATGGTTCGATACCAACTGACATTAGGCTACTGCTGAGGTTTCCTGAGACCTTTGGTTTAGTTGCAAAGGAATTGGTGAACGAGGGACCCCTCACTCCATGTCAGGTCTTTTACCCAAGGCTATGAAAAAGATAAATGAGAATATTCACCTTCAAGATTGGGGGCACCGAGGGAACATTTCTACTAGCTTACAGCATAGGCCTGTACTCGGGCTAGCATTATATTCTTCCAAATAGCTGATTTCGAAAAGTACCTCAGGATAAAACGGAACAGAGGATGCTCTACACAAAGATAACCAACACCAAAAGCTAAGAACAGGATTTCAACAAGGGTGGGAAAACATCTCACACCAGAGAGAGGCACTGCAGCTAGATATTCTGAAATAATAAAAAAGGAAGTCACTGATATGTAAGGTTAAGAATTGAGGAAATTAAGTTGAAAGATCTCAGGAAAAGGTAATTAAGTGAAAACAAAAAACCTATAAAAATTAGTTGATAGTAGTAAATTTTGAGCTTTCCAAAGTCAAATCTGAATCTGTATAACTAGTGGACATATCATAGATCTGTTTTTTTAATATGGACTATAAAGGTAACTTCCCTTGATAGCCAAGGAAAACCATCCATTTATAAAGGGAGGAAAGTATGCAAATTTGAGACAGCAAAGTTTGACAGTATGGAGCAATGCTGGCTGAGTCCAACTATGTGAATTTGTTTTTAAAACCAGCCAAAGTGTTCAGGTGTAAAGATGGCAGACTATGGCATTAAACACTACTAGAAAATCCAACAAACAGGTTTCTAACTTGGGATATGAAGAAAAAGATGAATCTTGGGAAGAGAAAAAAGAAATCAAGGAAGATAATCTGGAGGCAGAAACTAAAGATAACCAGCAACTGACAAGTAGCACAGCAAACACACAGCTTACAGCTAAGAATTCAGACAGATGAACAGATCCAACAAGAACATGGAAAGGCTGTATTTAGAGCAACACACTTTGAAATGGATCTTCACATCTGTAACATCACATAGGTCCAAGTGGGATATTCCTCTGAAGGAATTCACACAAGTACAGTAGCAGACTCCAAGAACAAGGTTATAAAGAAATGTGAAGGAATGATAGGTACATTTCAGAACACATTCATCTACCACCAGCGTTTGGAATCTAGAATTGGAGCACCAGACAATCTACAGGATATAAGTCCTACATCCCTGAATCCCACATAGGAGCTAGCAATGGGGTGAGTGCATGTGTGAGAATATGGAAGTCATGCAGGGGTGGGTGCCCCAGCCCTTCAGCTCTACTATATAGTATATGTTATGGTAAAAAGAAAGCCCAGAACAAGATATGCAAAGCAAGTCTGAGCAGAGTGGATACGTTGTTAAAGCAAAATAATACATCCACAGTACTTTTTGTTTATAGTCAATAATATTTCCAGTAACAAGTAATTGAGAGGCAGAATTTGCTCTGTCCCTGACTTTGAATGTGCTTTTTTTTGTTGGTTTTTTGCTTTAGAAGCAACATACCAGGGAGGGAAACTCAAAGAAAATTGGCGTATGAGGTATAATTCCAAGAGCAAGAAACAGGCAGAGTTTGAAGCAATGTACCCAGGAAACTTAAATGAAATTGGAGTTTGCCTAGCTATGGGCTGAGCAGATCTTTGGGGTTTTTACAAGACCTAATATAGAGTGGCTAATTCTGCACTCGCGGTAATGATGGGGGCAGCAAAGCTGGGTAGCTTACCACTGTGCAAGGCTATATGTAGATGGGTAAGCCAGTTTGCTCCAAGTGTCTGGAACCCTGTTGTAACTCAGCGCGGACTGCAGGGCTTCCACATCGGGAGATAATGTCAGCTCCCCCTTGCATGGAGAAAAAGGGTCTTGTAGTACCTTTCGATGTTGGTAATGCCCCCTCTAATTCCATTCTAAATTTACCTTCAAGCTGAGGTCTAACTGTTGAAGTGACACATGGATTTCACGAATGAGAATATTCATTCTTTCACATTCTTGGAAGCAAACGAGAACATACGGGCTTCTGTTTGAATTTTTTTGCATTATCTCTGCCATATTGAATTCTTCTGGAATTTTCTCCAAAATGTCATCCAAGATATTCTTAACCTTCAATCATTAACACACACACAGATTTCTCTTTCATTTTTGTTCATAGTGACTATACACTATACTCTTTGAGATTATATAAACTGTAACACTCAAAGATGCCTGCTCATGCATTTGAAAGACACCTACTGCTCTCAAGAGGTATGAATGCCAGCCATCTCTCCTCTGTTAAACCATAGTATAGGTAGGGAGGGCCACTGTTTATTTGCAGTTTATTTACTTACTGTTAGCGCTTAAGGTGTTACAAGAGTTGTTACTAACAACATGTCATTTGCACATAAATCAATGACCAGAGCAAGTGAGAGTATCATCACTTGCATACTATATTCTAAGTGAAAAAAATATTGAGAGATGCCATGAATCAAAAAGGCCTTTTAAGAATGAGCTAATGCTGGTAGCTGATGTTGTTTTTCCAACCAGCTACCCTGAAATTCCTAGGGCAATTTAGATCACTACTATGACCATTGCCAACAAGAAATGACTGGTTTATGTTAGAAGATAATAGGTACATAGTACTCAAGTTTGCATATTTTGTTGCTATAGCTTCACTAAACTGGGAAAGCCTATGGATGTCCAGAAAGGGCAAATGATTGAAAAACACAACCTGAAGTGGGCATGGTAACACTCTCATTATCTCAGCTCTTGGGATGCTGAGGCGTGAGGATTTGAAGTTTGAGGCCAGCCTGGTCTACATAACAGCCAAAAAAGAACAAAGAAAACAGTATAGCCATAGGCAGCTGAGTTCCCTCTTCTTGTTTTATCAGATTACTGCTAGTACTCCTGACATTGTGTTTGCAAACTGTAGCATTCTGGTGGGGAATTATCATGTCTTGAACCTTAGTCCCATTTATAATAGTGGTAGACAATGTGAAAGGCAATGCAGTAGTTGGGTAACTAACTTGGGAGTCAGCAGGATTTGTTTTCCTTCACTGATCTTTTCTAGCTGTCTGGCCTTATCTCTGAAACACATCCTGGTATACCTCAGGTCTTGCAGATTCAGTGGCATTCCTGTAAAGTCCTATTACCTTATGTGTAGTTAACACCTGTTGCCTTGGTTACGTACAATCTACTTAGCTGGGGGGTGGGGGAAGGGTATTTAGGCATCTTTGCTTTATCTCTTTCTGCCTTTCCTTGCTCAATGTCCAGCTTGCTTATTATTGTAAAGAGAAATGTGTAAAACCAGGCTGAAATGTCCACCATCCACCTCTGCTTCTATTTCAAGAAATCATTGGAAAAGTTCAGGAAATAATTTGGCTAGCTCCTGGGACTGCAGTATAATTAGATCTAATGTTTAGCAAGCTCTATTTGAACAGCCTGAATCTTTGCCAATCAAATCCTGATTAATAATTTTGAGTGCAATAAGGCCTAATTTATTTGGAGAAAATCAGATATTCAGACTTAATTACTGAGAAACAAGATTTTAATCTAATAGTTTAAAAAAATCATTTATCATTCCCATCATTCAAGAGCACTAACATCTTCCAAAAAATAAAAATGCCAGTCTCCCAAGGTAATATACAAAAGGCACCACAACGAAATGCAGAACCAAAACCATTTTAGGAGATGGAAAGCCAAGCCATATATTTGCAATTCACTTATCCAACCAAGGATGCATACCTTGAATACTTGTTACAAATCCATAAGAAAACGATTGACAACTCAACTAAAAATAGAGCAAGCAGGCTAGGCACCAGTGGTTCATGGCTGTAATCTTACCTACTTCATAGGCTAGAACCTTGTGGTTCAAAGCCATCCTAGGTAGTAAAGTCCTCAAGATCCCATCTCTAATTTATCAGCAAAGTGCCAGTCTGTAATACGGCTGAAGTGGTAGAGCACCAGCCAAATGGTGCAAGAAAGCCAAATGACAGAGTGAAGCCTGAGTTGGTAGATACACAACACAGGAAAAAGTATCCAGTGAGACTATCCAGTGCCATGTGCATATGAAAATGGTCAGTACTATTCCTCAGCAGGGCTGCAGATTTAAACCTGTTAAGAAATCTCAGTCCTAAGGAAACCTCAAGGAAGTAGGGCAATCCAAACTCTCCTGTGTTAGTGAGAGTAGAGTTTATACAACTACTTGAAGTTGGGCAGTCCTGTGAAACAGGGCACCTGGTAAGCTGCCAATCCCACTTCAGCGTTTAGAAAAATGAGTCTTTGGAGCCTTTGCGAAGAGACATTTATGATAAAGGACAATATGGTTGTGAGCATCTTAGAAAAGTTTAAAAAATTAAGACATGGTTATATAGAATACTAAACCAAAATGAACCACTGGTTCAAGCCCAGAATTAGAGTTCAAGCCCCATGACCGCCAAAAAAAGAAAGAAAGAAAAAAAAAGATTAGTGCACTTCAATGTTTATCTAGTTTAGACCTCAGTTTAAAAACAGAAAGACCCTCTACCTTTTCTTCTGTCGACTGCCCCATTTCCTCACTGCTGACTGAATTCCTGGGCTGCATCTCCAGCAAAGTCCTAAAGAGCATGTTGGAGGTCACTGTCAGGAACTCTATTTCAGCATTGGGATGGAGGCCGTATAGTGTGGGACTTTCAGGAGGCAGCATCTCTTCTATATACTGGTGGTAGCCTGCATAGTCTAGGTAGGGTGGGGCTGCAAATCCTGGTGCGAGCATGAGTTCATCTTCAATCTTCAATCAGAAGGAAATGTCAGTTAGTCCACAGCTTGGTGATCAGTACTCAGTTGCCTGGTGCAAGACAGGCTGCAAAACTGAGCCTTACTGTACCCATCTACTTCATTAAGGCTGTCCATCTCAAGGGGCCACTTAGAAGAAAGGCAGTAATTAGCTCCAGTATCAAATCTTCTACACATTAGAAGATAGATCTTCAATATGTAACCAAAGAGTTCATGGACCTGAATTTCTTCCATAAAGGGGGACAAATGCTTATAATTTTCAAACCAACAGTATAATCTCAGATTCCCCTCTGCATTCCCATTGCTCTCATTTTTCCTGTCTATTGTACCACAAGCCTCTGCATGAAGGGATGTTATTTTTTGACTTATCATTTAGTATAGTTGTTTTCTTGCTAGATTTTCTAAGTTTTAAGAAAGTGAGATGTATCTTTTACTGTACATGGTGTACCATGTCTCATCACTATCACCTGGGGGCAGTGACCTTTCCCTACTTGGTAGTATGTACTGATCACCTGGCATGCCATAACACATCTTGGAAGTTTAAAAGCTTCTTAGGACCTAGTTCTTAGGCAGCTCACAGCAAAGGAGATAAAATAAGGGTGTTTCCACATACTTGGCCATGTCTCAGTAATGGTGGTTCCCTCATTTTTTTTTTTGCCATTCTTAGGGCTTAAACTCGCCTGGGTGCTATCCTCGAACTTCTTGTGCTCAAGGCTAGCACTCTACCACTTGAGCTCTATTTTTCTCTCTCTCTCTCTCTCTCTTTTAATATATTGAAGAGTCTTGTGGACTTTTCTGCCTATCTGGCTTTGAACCATGATAATCAGATCTCAGCCTTCTGAGTAGGATTGCAGGCATGAGCCATCATCTGGCAGTTCCCTCCTCAAATATGCAGTCCAGGATTGCCTTGCAAGCCTTTGATTTTAACATAGCCACTTGGTGGCTGTCCGTGAATTTCAAAGAACATTGATATTTGAGTTAGCATTTCTACTTCTTTAGCAGGAGTATTTTCAAGTTTCAAAGGTTCTGATCCTTTGTATTGCCAGAAATAAGTCTTGACCCAATGAATTTGGAAGGACCTAATGCAGTACCCCTTGGCTTGATTCTATTCATTATTCACATGCTCATCACTTCATTATTCACATGCTGATCACTGATCAGTATTTCAAGGTCAGTGGACTCAGAAATGTCCTACTGTAAATCTTCTATGCCAACAACTAACATTTGAAAAAAAATTTGGCTGATACAAAGTTTTCAACCCATTCACAGACGTGAATCCTGAATGATCCTCCTATCAACACAGTGGCCAGATGGCCAAAAAAGCTGTATGGGAGAATTAAACTTAGCATTATTAGTCTCTAGAAGGTAAACTAGCCAGAATAAAAACATGAGCAAAATTGTGAATAGCAAACTCAAAATTATAAGCATACCCAAATGCAACTTTGTTCTCTTCAAATAAGAACTTGTCTTTCTCTGTTAGTGCTCAGTAAGTAGGTGAAAAAACTTTTAAAAGCTGCAAATAGTCCGGTGCTGGTAGCTCATGCCTGTAATCCAAGCAACTGAGGAGGTTGAGATCTGTGGATCATGGTTCAAAGCCAGATTAGGCATGAAAGTCTATGAGAGTCATCTCCAATTGACTATACAAAAAGCCAGAAGCGGAGCTATGACTCAAGTAGTAGAACACTAGCCTTGTGCAAAAGAGTTCAGGGCTGCCTAGGGCTTGAGTTCAAGTCCCAGGACACATAGGCACATGCACGTGCACACACACTGCAGCTAATTGGTCCTGCTCTCTCTCTCTCTCTCTCTTTGCAGCTAATTGGTCCTGCAAAGAGACAAAGGAAGGAACTATCCAAAACTTGAGCTGCTTGGAAGTTAAAATGCCTACTGACTGTTTGAGTGTATCTTTAGTAATGCTGAGTGGAATGTAACTGTCTTGTGTCCTCTGGAAAGAAACGGGCTGTTTACAAGTGTGAAGTGGGTTTCTATGTGTTGGGTGATAAGCCAAGTAAAGGAAAACAGCAAACTCAGATTGGGTCTAAGACTTAACAGGCAGGCAGATCTGGTTTACTTCCCATTCTTAGTGGTTCTATGGCTTTAAGAAATAACTTTTTATCAGCAATGGTTATGACTAAATAGTTATGAGTATATATTTCAGAATAACTGAAAACTGCCAGGTTCTGAGCAGGTTTTTACAAATATCAATTTGGATCTCCTGCCCTTGGGGGCGCAGATATGGTTATTTTTAACCATATCTTGTTTTTCTGGAAGAACAAAACCTGAGAAATGTCTTACTATGAATTCCTACTTTAGTGTAAAACAACTGGAGTTTGGAAATAGAGACGTGTGCACTAGATACTTTATGCCACCAAAGTAGTTGCTAGTATATGATGCCTATGTACTACTTTTTGGGAAATAAGATAAGCTGATACCTTATTTCCTGAAAGTAATTTTCATGGTATTAGTTAGCCCTTCCAAGTACATGCGTCAAGTGAGAGAATGCTTATGTCTTTACCTTTCTCCAAAGATTCTTTAAGGCACATTGCCATTGGAGAACTCTTCTGAGTGCAAACTCTAAGCAGCTCAGCCTTCCTTACAAAAAGATACGACTAAACTGGGTGCTAGTAGCTCACACTTGAATTTTAGCTACTCGGGAGGCTGAGATTTGAGAATCATGATTCAAAGTCAGCCTAGGCAGGAAAATTTGTGAGGTTCCAATTAACCAGCAAAAGCTAGAAGTGGAACTGTGGTTCAGGTGGTAGAGCACCAACCTTGAGCAAAAAAGCTAAGGTCATTGCCCAGGTCTTGAGCTCAAGTCCCAGTATTAGCATAAAACAAAACCCCCACAAAATCTCCTTTATATTACTGAAAACATAAAAATGATGAAAATGTTTTAATGAAAACGTGTCAAGAACACAACTTTAATTGCCAACTAATGAGCTGTCTTTTGATCATGTCCAGGGCAGCCAATAATAATTTGCAAATACAGTCAAAACATAAGAAGGGGCAAAAAGATTTCCGAGACATGCTGAAGTATTAGATTCCTTTGTTATAATATAGACAGCATAAGCAAGAAACATTTGCCAGAGAATAAAATAAGTAGATCTGCAGCTTTTGACATTGAGTCAGTCTATTGATTTCCCTTGATGAGCTGAGGATGCCAGCTTGCAAATAAAGCATTTTGACCCTGAAAAATCTCACCTGATCTGTACAGGAGGTCAGGTACCTACATTTCTAAAGGGCTCACACACACCATTGAAGCCACTCAGGTTTCACCCACCTATATTCATCTTACAGTTATTTGAATGGGAGTTGAGACTTGTGAAGGTTAATGGACTGTCTGATTTGGCACCAATAATTCTCCTGGCAGCCACAGGCCAGAGCCAAAGCCGGGGGAGGGAGTGGAGGGCATCTGCAGGAGCTTCCGACTCTGCCCCCTGAACACCATCATCCAGAGAAATCAGCCTCTGTAAAAGTTGAACCTTAGCACTGTTTATCTTTTCTGTCTCCATGGTAACTTGCTCCTAGATCTCTATTGAGGAGTAACCTCCAATTGTGTTAAATTACAAGTATCTTTCTGACACGTGAAGTACGGCTCATTAGTACTAAAGATGACCAGGACACTCACAATCACAAGAAATGACTAAAAAAAATGGTCACAGAGCAGGAAAGTCTATTTTGCTTCTGCACTATCTTCTAACGCATGATTATATTATTTCTCAAAAGGGATGAGAGTAGGTGGTCAAATCTAAATAGTGAGTCTGACTGAGATGACATTTTCAAAGAAATGATAATAAGCAACGTTGCTCAAATGATAAAAACAAAAACCCCTAAAAGAATCCTCAACATTGCTATAAACATTGTTTTTCCCAGCTGGGAACAGAAATATTATGGGGGTATTGGATACTGCTATGGTTTAGAAATGTCCTTCAAAAGCTTAAGGTTTAAGCCAGGCACTGGTGGCTCACGCCTGTAATCCTAGCTATTTAGGAGGCTGAGATCTGAGGATTGCAGTTCAAAGCCAACCAGGGCAGGAAAGTCCGTGAGACTCTTATCTCCAATAAACCACCAGAAAACTGGAAGTGGTGCTGTGGCTCAAGTGGTAGAGCGCTTGCCTTGAGCTGAAGAGCTGAGGGACAGCGCCCAGGCCCAGAGTTCAAGCCCTAAGACCCTGGGGGCTTAGGGGTAGCTTAAGGATTAGTCAACAGCCTGTAGTTAGCTCTTAGGAGAAGGTAGACGTTTTAAGAGGCGGGGCCTAGTAGGAAGAAGTTAGGTTACTGGGACCCTAGCCCTATTTTTTTGTTGTATTTTTCATACCTGGCATGAAGTAATAAATAAGCCACTTCTACTATGCATTCCCACCCTGATGTACTGTGCTACCACAGGCCCAAAGGCAATGGGACTAGCCAACCCTGGATGGAAGCCCCTGAAGCAATTAACTAAAATAAAGTTTTCTTCAAGTGGATTGTCTCTGGTATTTTGTCACTGTGACAGGATGCTCACACAGGTGGCCTTGAAGTTTCTAAAGAATTATCAAGAAATAGCCTTGAATCAAAACACCCATTTGTGCGTCAGTGAGCATGAGGAACACTTATCACCCTAAGCTACTTCAGAATGAGAAATGAGACCTAAGTTAATTTTACTAGAAATAGCCCAATATGCAAATGGTTTCTACAGACAATGGGAGAATTCAACAAGAAATGGGAAAGCACAGTGATAAAATCTCTACGCTCCCTCCTCACAGGTGGAGGAAGAACCAAGTCTCAGAGAACAAAAATTTTCTTAAAAATCATAACCATGCTGGGTGCCAGTGGCTCACGTCTATAATCCTAGCTCCTCAGGAGGTTGAGATCTGAAGAGCATACTTTGAAACCAGCCAGGGCTGGAAAGTCCATAATACTATCTCTAGTTAACAAGCAAAAAGCCTGAAGTGGAGCTGTGGCTCAAGTGGTAGAGTTCTGGCTTTGAGAGAAAATGCTAAGGGATAGCACGTAGGCCCTCAGTTCAAGCTGCAGTACCAGCACACGTGGAGATATGGTGTTCAGTGTGATGTTCTGATGTGTATATAGATAGATTTAGATTTAATCAAGCTAAAAAGTCCACCATATCAGTGCTTCCATCCATATCTTGAGCATATATTTTGGGGTCTAGTATCTTAGTGTTACTGTACAAAAATTAAAATATTTCAGGGCTTCGGTGACAGGCAAAAAAAAAAAAAATACCAGGAAGTAAAGGAAAAGAAAGAATCCTTGATTGAAATCACAACACTAACTGCCCATACTCACTAGGTAAGCCAGGGCCAATCACCAGGCCTCCCTATTTCAGTCTGCTCTATGGAAAACAGGATGTGTTCCACATAGCTCACAGGCATCTAAATTGAGTGAGTCAGTTCACAAGAGAGTGGCTAGACCTTGTCACTTGGCATATGTGCAGAAATCATCTGGGAAAATCTAAGGAATGTACAAATTCTGATTCTCTACCTCAGAAAGGGCCTGGGAATCTGCATTTCTAAGAACTTACCAAATGTCCATGAAGACAGATCAGAATGCACACATGCCACCAATCTTCATTTAATAATTATCTATGCAGTAAAATGATTTTCAAACATTCCTACCAAAATTTTCTCAATAGAATTAGTTTTTTTTTTAATGGCTCACCAAAGATGGATTCATGAATTCTTCTAAATATACCCGGCACAGTTTTCTATCCCAGGCATCTGTGATGTGGCCACCATACATGATCTCACCAAAGAGGTAGCGGAGGTCCTCCCATGGCACCTGGGGGAACATGCAAGGGAACACTCACTTCTAGGCCCAGAGCACCTGCCTCATAGCCAGCCAACCACACACACACACACACACACAAAGCATCTGCCTCCTCATAGCCAGCCAACCACACAGACACACACACACACAGAGCATCTGCCTCATAGCCAGCCAACCACACACACACACACACACAAAGCATCTGTCTCCTCATAGCCAGCCAACCACACACACACAAAGCATCTGCCTCCTCATAGCCAGCCAACCACACACACACACAGAGCATCTGCCTCCTCATAGCCAGCCAACCACACACACACACAGAGAATCTGCCTCCTCATAGCCAGCCAACCACACACACACACACACACACACACACAAAGCATCTGCCTCCTCATAGCCAGCCAACCACACACACACACACACAGAGCATCTGCCTCCTCATAGCCAGCCAACCACACACACACACACACACACAAAGCATCTGCCTCCTCATAGCCAGCCAACCACACACACACACAGAGCATCTGCCTCCTCATAACTAGCCAACCACACAAACACACACACACAAAGCATCTGCCTCCTCATAGCCAGCCAACCACACACACACACACACATTCTCTCTCTCTCCTAGGCCCAGAGCATCTGCCTCCTCATAGCCAGCCAACCACACACACACACACACACACTCTAAAAGTCCTTCCTTGTCACACACACACACACACACACACACACTCTAAAAGTCCTTGTCCCCAGGGGCACTCCAAAGAGACGTAGACATTGTATAAGATGTTTCTGTGGGTAGTGACTGTCTTTATCTGATTTCTTTGTTGCTTTGTATGTCCCTCCCCCACGGTATAACCCCTGCTTTCGCTGTATTTGATGTTGGTATAATTTGTGGAGAGGAAGGGAAAAAACAAATTGTTTAAATAGGGATACAGGTGGACCCATTGCAACAATGAGATGTACAAGTCGTTATGTCAAAAAACAACTTTGGTGTGTGTGGGGGAGTATCGGGTAGGGGTGGGGGATGGGAAAGGATGGGAAGGGGAAACAAAGGAGGCAACAATGCTTGATAAGAAATGTACTCGTTATCTTGCCTGTGTAATTGTAACCCCTCTGTACGGTATTTTCACAATAAAAAAATACATTTTTTTTTAAAAAAAAGATGTTTCTGTGACCTCGCTAATGTAACTGACCCCTCTATATAGCATCTTTACAAGAAAATAAAATTTAAAAAGATGTTTCTGTGTAGAATATCCTGGGAGAATTAATTTCAGTGGGTTCTAATATATTCAATGAAAGTTCACCAGTACTGAACTTTTCATGCTTATTTTAAAGGAAAAGGAATAATTAATTTCTGGAACAAGGTAAGCTAGGAAATCTTTCAATGTCCTTAGAGAATGTTGACTCATGAGGCCTTTGAAGTATGACCCTATTCTTAGTATCAAATTCATATGAGCTTTTATTATGTGACCGTTGAAAAGATAACAGTAGCCAGGCAATTTAAATTTGAGACGAATTTTAAATTCTATTACCATACAGGCTGACACAAGGACTCAGTGTATGGCCCGGCTGGTGGGATGACTGTTCTAAGCCATTGCTAATGTATCTTGTTTAACTCAAGCCTCACTGCATCTCCTTTTTTGTCAGCTTAGCAGAATTTGGAGTCCCCTTTTGCTACCCTTTAGCTTCCTCTGGGTTTGCAAAACATGCCATTTTGTGATGAAGCCTTTCCAGACAGCAACCTTTATACTCTTGGGGGCAGCCTATTGCTTCCCAATGGTTCAAGTAAAAATGTAATTATAGCCTTCACTCAAAGTTTGATGCGACAGAACAAGTAAAATTGCTTCAGCCATTCCAAAGTACTTGCTGTGAGTCTGAGTTTGAATAAATGAACCTCAAATATAAAAGAGAAATAACTAGACTGCAACATACTCTCTCAAGTACTCCATGGGCTGCCTTCTATTTAGTTGACATGGATGGGAAACAGACACTTCTACATTCTCTTTTCCCTTCTAACTGTACTGGATTCAGACCTGCTTTGCATTTCATTATCCAACATAAATTTCCCTCAAGATTAAAATCAGGTAGCAGTCTTCCTTCCAGTAATCATTTCTCTTTCCCCTAATCCTGCTCTTTGTCTTTTACAGACATTTTCTAGAAAAAGAACATTTTTTTGGGGGGGTCCGGTTGTGGGGCCTGAACTTTGGGCCTGGGTGCTGTCCCTCAGCTCTTCAGCTCAAGGCTAGTGCTCTACCACTTGAGCCACAGCGCCACTTCCAGCTTTTTTCTTTTTGCTTATGTGGTGCTGAGGAATCGAACCCAGGGGCCAAAGTTTATGCACTTATTCACCCATTTTCCAAACCTTGCTAACTTGCTTTGTGATGGGTAGAAAATGACTTGGGTCAAGATACCTGAGACACATGAGTGTGTGTTAAAAAGCTAAGGTTTTAGTCAGGCACTAGTGGCTCATGCCTGTAGTCTAAGCTATTCAGGAGGCTGAGATTTGAAAATCACAGTGTTTGATGCCAGCCCAGTCAGGAAAGTCCCAAAAGACTCTTATCTCCAATGAACTACCAAAAAGCCAGAAATGGAGCTATGACTCAAGTGGTAGAGCACTAGCCTTGTGCAAAAGCAGCTTAGGACAGTGCCCAGGCCCTGAGTTCAAGCCACAGAACTGGCACAAAAACAAAAGCAAAAACCTAAGGTTCTGTGGACCTTAAAGCCTACTGGGCAAAGCAGCAGAACCCATCACAATTCAACTTCTCCCTTATTCCTTCACTTCTACCTTGTATGGGACTCAGCTGGAATAGGATTGTATTCCTGGGCTCAGCCTTAGGGAACCAGTTACAAAAGACTTGAAAGTCAATATTAAATCATCAATTTCTATTTCTATGTGGAACTATTAGAATAACTTTATGTACAGAACTTCAAACAAAACGTGCTGTAATCACAACAACATTGTTCAAATGGCTAAAACATGCTCTAAGTATGTAAATTTTTACTTTGTAAATTAAAAAAATATAGCTAGGAGGGATATTGATCATCATTAGGTCGTTTGTTTTGGAAACAACTTAATTCAAAATCTGTTCCTTGGGAGACCATATTCCTACTGTGCATTACAAAAACATACTCAGATGGCAGCCAGATCCCTACTGAAGCCTGGGGAAACACTGGAATATTAGTTACCAAAAAACACCAAAAAACCATGGATTTGAGATTTTAAAGGCCCTCTATAGAAAGTGTGGCATAACACCCAACACTTAGTTGTTCTGACAAATGTGCCTCAGATTTAACTGGATGGATGATTGTGAGGATTAAGCCAGAAAATCCTTAGGAGCCAATGGTTCTTCCTTTCTAAATTCACTCATTGGGTGATAAGACTTTACCCAACTGGTCTTGATGAGGCATTCCTATCCCCATCTGTAAAACACATTTTAGCCGTGACACAAAATCATTCATCTCCTTTTAACGTCAAATCAGGGAGAACATTACTGAGAAAGTCACAACAAGGTGGCATCCTTAATACATAATAATGACATATGCAGGAAATGCACCATTATTTATATGTGTGACGCACTGTAAATTGCTTCCATCATCAGAACTAATTGTAGTGATTATTAATGCAGTGTTATGAACTGTCAGAATTGCTGTATGTAATTACATTTGTGCAAATGCTTCATTACCTGCCTAATGAATCTGGCATATATGCACGTGTAAACCACTGTTTTGTTAACATAATGAAGGACATTATTATTTTTTTTTGCACTAAGCTGTTGATATAGGACTGGTTTGACCTAGCTTATGAAGTTCAACCATCCACTGCTGGCAAATCTTTGATCTAATTTATTTGCACACTTGGCAGAAGATACGTGTGCAAGACTCTTATTTTGAACAATGGCTTCCACTGAGAAACTGTGGTCCAGTTTAAGAGCACATGAAGACTGACAGATTCCGTATGCCTGATCACTCGCACTTACACTTGGGTTTGCCTCTACATAGTTGTACAGGACATTGACACAGATGGAAAGGTCCCCAGTATTGAAAGGATAGCTTCGGCTCCAGCCCTGGGGGCCAAACCTCATTCTCCCAGCAACACAGGCATGGAAGTAGCACAGAGAAAAGAGGATGCTTTTAAATTCCTGTTCCTTGGAACACATCTCAAGTGTATCCTGGAAGGAAAGAAAGAAAAGAGCTTTGGTTACACATCTGGATGGTTCTTGGGGCTGAGGGTCTGAATTTTCCAATCTTGGGAAGACTGGTTTTAAGCAGAGCTGTCCATACGACAATAGAGAGAATTCTCTAGTTGGCATTTGTCAAGTCTGGTGATGTAAGAGGAATACTTTTATTTAGCTTTTTTGTTCTGCTTTGGACCCAGTCTTGCTATGTACACTAGGCTAACCTCAAACTTGTTATCTTCCTGATCCCTGAGTGCTGAGATTACAGGTAGACACCACTATGTCCAGCTGGTAAACTTTGTTTAGATTGGTCCTAGTAACCAAACTCAGCCTTGTGTATGTTAGGCAAATACTCTGTCACCAAGCTATAACTTTAGTATTTGTTATTCCATTTTTTTTTGTCAGTTTGGGGCTTGAACTCAGGGCCTAAGCACTGTCTCTTGAGTTTTTCTGCACAGCTCCAGTTCCAGTTTTTTGGTGGTTGATTGGAGATAAAGAGTCTCATGAACTTTCCTATTCAGGCTGGCTTCAAACTGCAATCCTCAGATGTCAGCCTCCTGAGTAGCTAGGATTACAGGCATTCACCACCAGCACTGGGAAGCATTTGTTTTTCTTTTTTTTTATGATTAGCATATTTTATTATTTATGTTTTATATAGAGGTTTAGTATAACTGTAGCAAAGAAAAAAATCACGTGTACAATGGGATTTACCAGTATTCAGTTTCTTGTTGGCAATACTGGGGATTGAACTCAGGGCATTATGTTTTCTAGTCAGGCATGACTACCCCTCAGCCGTTTTTGCTTTAGTTTTAATTTCAATTATTTTTTATTGTCTGAAGTAGTTGTATAAAGGAGTTGTCATTCAACAAAGCGATATATTCACATTTGAATTTTGCTTATCCATTATAATGATATTGAATCATTTGCAAAGAAATGGAAACCTGGTAGAAATTGTGTTGAGTGAAGTAAGGCATTTGTTTTTCTTAATGCTTCTAAGTACACTAGAAGATGAAGCAAGTCATCTTAACCATATTAATATACTGCTTGATAGAATTTGATAGAATTTTCACCTGCAAAGTTTCCCTTCTAAGGCCTAGATGACCAACGATCATGGTTCTAGTGTCATCATTCTTCTCTTGCTCCACAGTGACAAAGATCATGTGTGCACATGGTCACTCATTCAGTGTTTCCCCAGTTTCCAGTGATGCCATATCCAGTTTTTGTTAACAGAATCTGGGCAGAAGTGATGTTTTAACATCCATGTCATGCTATAAAGGAAATGGCTTATCCTGGTGGTTGTTTGCTGCTTTGTTATTGTGGGCAGGAATGATGAGGATTGGACAGTTCTGGCAACCTTAGTCCAGCATCACAGTTACCCATCAACATGGGCATGTGAATGAGACCTGCCAGATGTGTGTGATTGCACAAACTGCTGTTTTGTTTGAATCATGCTTCTTTTTAATTTCAGCAAGATACCCTGTAGTAATACAATCTGCATTACACATGATCTTCCAGTGAGCTAGGAGTAAATTTTATTGTTGAAATGACTGAACGGAAAAGGGAATACCAGGAAACACTTGCTCTGTGCACTAGACCTGTGGGATTCTTTTGAAAAATCAGGGGGAAAGTTGAATCCCAATAGCTGTAAAATAAGAATGTGGCAAACAACCATTCAATCATACTTTCATTCAATCATCAACCATTAACATACTTTTCCATCCTCAGATTTAGCAGCACTAATAAGGGGAAGAAGGTGAGGTTGAGGAGGCCTAGATTAGCCCATTCCTGTCTTCTCCTTCACCATGGTTAAGTCACAGACAGCTCACATTTAAAATGGATCTAACAAAAAGGGCCATAGACTATATTTAGAAATTCTGGGTGGAGGAGTGAAGATCTGTATTCCCAGGAGAATTTTAGTATTACACCAAGATTAGGTTTGTTGTAGACCATTACCCAGCTTCTTTCTACAGACCTAGCGCTTCTGCTGCTTGTAGCTCTAAAACTGGCCAGGTCGTGATACACTCTACACCCAACAACATCACCAGGTCACTTTAATTCTCTAGGTTACTTCAGGTAACTTACATGGTTTGGAAATGTATAATCATTAAAAATAAGTTTCATAACTAAATATCCAATGCTTGTGAAAGAAGAGGAACCACATAATTAGAATGAACTTTGAAGGGTGTAAAAAATATTACCTTCAAATGTATAAAAATCCTAGGAGATCCAATTATATTTGAAATTTCATATCAGAATTATTATCCAAGGAGATATATAATAGTTACCTGAATTATAAACAGGTCACACAAAAACTCAGTTTCTACAATAACTAAGAATATTAATTCAATCTGCCACTACACCTGACCACATAAATGCTGTAGGAAGGAAATGTGAATCAGGCTTTTTAAAAGAAAATGTGTTAAGCCTACTTACCATTTCATATTTTAGGAATGTCATCATTCAGTGAACAGGCTTCCACATATACAGGTATGCATGTACCTAACCTCCAATACATTATTACTAATCAGTTGTTTCTCTCTGCAAATTTCACAGGAAAACCTACATTCTTATTCTTAAAAAATATGGCTCCTTTGGTCTAAAAAGAGCCCATAGCCGGGTGCCAGTGCTCACACCTATAATCCTAGCTGCTCAGGAGGCTCAGATCTGAGGATCGAGGTTTGAAGCCAGCTGGAACAGGAAAGTCCATGAGACTCTTTGTTTCCAATTAGCCATCAGAAAACTTGAAGTGGAGCTATGAGTCAAAGTGGTAGAGTGCTAGCCTTGAACAAAAGAGCTCATGGGTAGCTCCCAGGCCCAGAGTTCAAGCCTGTTCACTATTTCTGACATTACTCTGATGAAAGCAACTGACTGAAATGCAAACATACATGCACATGTACGCACCCCAACGTGCCACCCATCTAAGTGAGATGCTTGAGTTGATGGTGGTCTCCACAGTCTTGTGAGGAGAGATCTGTTAGTTCAGGCTGCTCTGCTTTCTTACCTGATCGAAGTTGTCCAGGGCAGCATGCAGATTGGCCAGCATTCCTGTCGGGGGTTCATTGGTGATCTTAATTGAATTTTCCAGGAGTCCTTCAGGGATGATGTGCTCATTTGGTGCAGGGGCAGGCTCGGCACTCATGAACACCCTGTAATCTCTGTGGCTTCCTTGGCTGAATTTTTCAAGGAGTTTTTCCAAGGTTCCCAGCCACTTGGCTACCAAATGGACATTCTAAAAGACAAGTATGGCTTATGATTCCTATAAAATCTTACTATACAAGAACACTTTCCTATATAGAGATGTGCTGAAAACCCAGAGAACCATGGCTTGAGTTTTCCTTTATGAGCAACCAGAAAAAGGGGGAAAAAATCCAAACCAGAATGGACCACAAATAGATCACATACTCCAAATCTCCCAATGCACATACCTACTTCAAACACTCACCAGTGACTTCTGAGATGGAGTGGTCTAAATACTTTTCTTGGTTATAGTTCAAACTCCATTACTGAGACATTAATGGATTCGTTTAATAAAGTGTAAAATTTAAGAGACAGAAATATGCCTGATTCTCCACTTCATTGTTTCTGAGGCAAACTTTCTCTACTCAAACTCCTACTCATTAGCACAGGGACTCAAAGAGGAGTATAAAAGAAGAATGGCCAGTTGGTAAAGAATGACCACACACTGTTGAAAGGCTCCATGAATTTCTAACATTTCATTTTCTTAAATCTTAGAACTGTCAAAAGCCCTCCCCTTCTTGATTGCGCACACATACATACACACACACATGACTGTCACCACTGTTACTCTTTGCTTTTCAGTTTTACGGTTCTCACACTTCCAGCTTCCGATGGGTTAGGCCACCCATCAGTAATGGTTTGGTTTGGCAAAGTTCTTAACAATTTCAGTAGGTGAGGCTTTTAAGTTTCCTTTCCTCCCATGCTTGCTACTAGGTTACAGTGAGAATTTCCCATACCTCATATAATGAATGGACAAAACAATTACAAAACCTGTTTTGCAGACTCTTTTTATATGTCTTAACTCTCTGTCTTATGGGTCACAATACTACCTTACTTGAATAATGTAATTGAAAAAATACAAAAATATTCCAGACTGCAACTTTGAAGTCAAGGACAGAAAGCATCAGATGAGCTATTATGGACCCTAGGCATATCCTGGCACCCAGACTGAGTACTAGCCTGAAGGGTACTAGCTTTGGGAATGACGGGATCCTCTTACTTATTTTTCCAAGGACATAGAAGATAGCACATTTTTTAGATAGTCCACATTTCTTGAAAAAAAAAAAAGCTACTCATTGAGCCCGTGAAAAATGATTCGTTAATATTTGTTAGGTTCACTCACAAATTGTCCTCTTTGCATATGGAGATAAGTTGCCAGTCTATCTCCTTTATATCTACTTTTCTTGAGTGTGGACTTCAGTAAAATACAAGGTAAACAGTCCTAGAAATGTTGTCTGCTTACTGAAATTGGCTAATCCTAGGGTTTGGATAGAAACTTACTGACATATTTATATGTATCATCCCTCAATGTAATAGAAATTGCAAACAATATTGTATTGAGTTCCTGTCCTGTTCGTCTACTCTTTCTTCAAAGTCTTGCTTGTCTTTTTACCTATTAAATGGGTACTAGAAGTGTTTGGGATAGCTGAAGGCCTGCCATAGCGTCCCTCTTCCAGTTACTGTTTGTGTTTAGAAGAGGGGGTGAGGAGAGAGAGGACAGCTAAGCCATTGCATTCCAGGTTATGGGTTTGCCAGCAAGAACAAAAATAAAAGGTCTGGAATAGACACCACAAAGCAAGCGCTTGTTATGTAAAGGTCTTTCAAGATGTTTTGTTTTGCCTTATTTATTTTTGAATGTTATAACTTGAATTTGGGTGGGGGTCATCATATATATAAAAACCAAGAGGAAAACCTGTTTCTTTGAATAACATATTTGGAGATGGGTTCTGTATTCCTTCTAGTGCATTCTCTGGTCTGAGCTAGCAAACACATGAGAACTTTCAACAAACTCTTTTCTTTTTGTGGGGAAACCTTGAGGTTAACATAGTGTCGGCCAACCTTGTTTTCTCTGTTTTGACTGATTCTAAGCCTCAACTGTGAACTCACTGTCCCAACTTCTGAAGGAAGGTGTGTTTCTATTGAGGTATTATCTATTGAGAGCCATGCTATGTGGCTGGAGCCTGCCTCAACTCCTGGCAGCTTCTGCAGGGCTCCAGTTTTATCTCAAGCAGAAACACAAGATACCAGGTCACGCTGTACCTCTGCATAGGAGGGTAGCGTGAGCCAGGTTAATAAGTCCTTGCTCCTCAGAGAGCTGGAAGGAAGGAACAACTCAGCCATACCCACTAGCTCTGTGGGAGGGAGATGCTTGCAGACCACTCTAGGGCTGACGAATGGCAACATCAGCATCAACCTCAGAGCTTCACTGTAATCATGAGAGACCTAAGACAGGATAACTCATGAATTATATCCTCAAAAGAACCTTCCGGCTGACCATGTCACAAATCAAGGGGCCATGACTAGACCTGTTGGCAGCTAGTAGAGCTTACTATTTGTCCCTCCGTACCCTCATACCCCTGGGCCCTGGCTAGAATCCTCCACTAGGAAGGCTGCCCCAGAGAATATCAGACTGTGGAATCATGGTATGTGTGCTGTCAGCCCTGATAGGGATAAAGTTGTCTATTCTAATGTACTTTAAAAAAATTTTTTGGTACCAGTCTTGGGGTTTGAACTCAGGGCTTGGGCACTGTCCCTGAGATTCTTTGTCTCAAGGCTAGCACTGTATCACTTGAGCCACAGCACCACTTCCAGCTTTTCCTGAGTAATTTATTGGAGATCAGAGTCTCACCCACTTTCCTCCTCCAGCTGGCTTTGAACTGGGATCCTCAGAGTTCAGCCTCTGGAGTAGTCAGTATTACAGGAGTGAGCCACCAGCGCCCAGCTTAATGTCCTTAGTTTATAAGAAAGCAGTGCTATACAATTACTCAGGGGCAGAGTTTAGAGTTGTATAATACGCTATCTACATAGGGAGATAGATAGATGAAAGATGCTGATATAGATGTAGATAGAAATGGCATTAATTCTACTCATCCATTCACTCATTTATTCATGCCAGTACTGGGGCTTGAATGCTCTTTGGGCTTTGGGCTCTCACTTAACATTTTTGCTCAAGGCTGGAACTCAACCCATGTAAGCCACACCTCTGTTTCTGGATTTTTAATATTTAATTGGGGATAAGAGTTTCATGGACTTTTCTGTATGGACTGGCTTTGAACCATGACCTTCAAATCTCAGTGTCCTGAGTAACTAAGATTATAGATGTGAGCCATCAGAACCCAGATTGGCTTTGCTAACTTTAAAACAACATGCCACTTCAATATGACCCTAAGAATGTGGCCTTTCCACAATCTTGTGTGTCCTCAAGTACTATTAGAGTTCCAGATATCTGTATGTTAAGGAGAGCAGTGGGATTCTTCCTGGTATTTGAAAATTCTCAACCACTAGACAGTCACTCCAGAGAGGAAGGCCATCCCATTCCCCCATCATCTTTGGCATGGTGAGTGCTGAGAACAGGGCTAGAGTCAGCAGAGCATCGTGTGCTGTGTACAACAAGGGCCCCTCCCCATTGACGGGCAGCTCAGCTCTGCCCACCCGCTGTTTTCATGCCCAGTGTCTTCCATGAGAGTGAAGTGCTCACCTGAAGCAGGACCCAGTGCCCTCCTATGGAAGCCTTCTCCAGAGCCATTTCTGCCACCGTCTCTTGACCCTGTCCTAGAGACACATTGTGGAATTTTCCCGACTCAATCGTAAATCCAAGTCTTTTGCCTGTAAGGGAACAAAAGCAGGGAAGAGCAAATGACAACCAAGAAGAGGGGTGGAGTGTTTTGTGAGGTTCCCCTGTTCTCACAGCTGCTGTCTTCTAGGTCACTTGCCCAGAGAAACCAAACTAAGCTGTAGCGGTTTCTCTAAGCAGAATTTCGAGCCCTCCCCCCAGCCACCTCTGCCTTGCAAGACTTCAGCAAAGAGTGCAGAAGTCACTTCCCTTGGTTTTATAATAATGAAGCTGTTGACATTTTGATAGATGGCAGCATTGTTAGGGAGCTTTCTCAACTCCTGCAGGAGTAGCAAAGTACTGCCCGCATAAAAAGGAGCCAACAGGTGGTAGCCATCACGTCATTTCTTGAACAGATCAGTTTGCTGGGTAAACGCACAAGCTCTCACCTTGCAAGGCTGCATTTATATTGAGCACATTTGGGTTGGGGCTACATTAACCTGGTATTCCTGGTGTAGGCCGAGGGGAATAGTAATCCAGAGCACAAAGAGATAGGGCCTTGCACAATCAAATAGACTTGCTCTAATGACCATTATTTAGTCACAGGGGGCACGAGATTACACGAGCATGGAGAAAATTGCCCTCTGGCCCTCATATTGTCAAAAGGTAGAAAACAGTAACAAAAGAAATGTGCATTATGCCAACTAGATGAATGTTCCTTTAAAGCATTTCTTCAGACTACGGTGTTATTAGTCTCACATTTTCCACACACCCAACATTCAGCAAATAATAATAAGGATAATAATAATAATAAAAAGCAACCAGAAGATAGCTATGAGTGGAAAGGAAGGCTAAACAGTGGCAGGTGAAAGGGAGGAAGAACAGGCCAGCAAGCCTCCAGGCCACTCACCAAGCATCTCTAGCTCTTTAAGAGCATCCACCCCTGGAGACAGGATGAAGAACATGGGGATGGCTGTGCTGCTTTCTTCAAAGGCTTTACCTAAGTCCAATCTGGTCCTCTCCACATACCTGGCACCCAGTTTTTCCTCCACAAAATTTCTATAAAAATATGCAAAAAAACACAACGAAACAAAAAACAAGAGGATCATGGATTTTGACCTTGAAAAGTCTCAACACCTGGATAAGCAGCAGGAAACAGCTGTGGTTAAATAAACCGTATTTATCACATGGATGTCTTTTTACAATAAAATGAACCCACCTGAGTTTAGGCAGGAAGTTTATCAATGAAATCCTCTCTACTGGATAAACTGACCATCAGAAGACGACATTGCATTTTGGGGGTTTTTACTGAGATTCCCCTCACTTCAGAGTACCATCAGCTGCCTGTATATGGCTTTGCACCCCCCCAAATCTCCTGCCAAATTCTCCCCATTACTTATTAACAGTTCATTAGATTTGCCACAGTGCAATTTTCCAGCCTGCTGGGCTTCTCATGAATATACAAATGCTTTTTGGGGTGTTTCTAACACAAGGAAGCTCAATTAAGCAGGGATTATTCTCCAGCAGCATCAGATTTAACAGAAAGTAAGTACCACTGAGCAGAATTAACTTGTAAAGTAGGGTTCGGCAAAGGCCTCAGCAAAGGGGAAATTGACTGAACAAGACAAAGCAAAGGGAAAAAACCCAAAGGCACAGGAGTGTTATTGAAGGAAGAGGAACACAATAGGGAAGGAAGATGAGCTCTCTCTGGTGGGTGCATTCAAATGAGAGTAAGATTGGTGTGAATTAAGCTGCTTATTACCATTTGGAAGCAAGAGGGCAAAGAAAAAGGACACAGGGACCAAGATGCTTTGGGATGTCATTGGTTGTGAAGTTACAGAAACTAATTTTCTTCTTTGGCATGCACAACCTTCAGAGCTAGGTGCTCCAAACGATGGAAAGCATATTTAGATAATGAATGTTCCTGGCCCTCTAAACTCTGCTTACACCCATCTCTCTTCCAAAAATTTCCATCATTTCAGCATTGAAGCTTTTCAGGAAGAATACGCTGAGTCTGCCTGGTGGCCAACATACTGTGTAGTACTAGGCAAGTTTTAATAGTGGTGGCAATTATATTGCTAAATACCTCCTCATCCATGGGGATCAAGGCCTCCATTAGACCCTCACCCTTGTCCCCCAGGACCAAGTTTCTTCTATGTTAACTTGGATTTCCCGTGTCCCCGGCCCACCTGAGAGCATACGTCATCCTGTCAGGGCGCATTGCCCTCAAAATCATCAGCTTCTGTATTAAACTTTTCTTCTTCCATTCTTGTGGTAACTTTTCTTTTTCTGGACACTCAGATTCCACCCACTTCCTCCACTGCTTGGCAGATCCTTCCACATCTCGATCTAGCCCCCGAAATTCTTCCATAAGGGCCACTGCCTGTAACAGAGGAGGGAAACAGGATGGAATTCTGTGAGCAGCTCATGTGTGAGATATTGAATCCTAGGGAAGCAAGCTGTGCTAGAGAGTCTTCATTTTCTTCTCTGGATTTACCCTGCAGTCTTTCCTGACCTGCTTAGAGGGTGATCCCTACGGGAGTTGAGGGCTAACTAAGATCCTCAGTTCTCTGGCCTAGTTGGATTTTGCCAATTGGAAAGCACTGGTAGGAGACTGGTTTGGAGTGGGTAAAGGAGGAAGACAAGGGTATTTCTTTCCCAGTTCCTTACTGCAGTGGTGTGCTTTTGTAGTGACTTTCTCAGCCACAGGCCGCAGCTTCTATAGACTAGTTTCCTCCCACAGCCTCTTCTCAGTAGTTCTACAACTTGCTGCCCTCTCCCTTGCCCTTCCTCTCTCCCTCTCCCTTTCTCTCTCTTTAGTACCCTTCTTGTCTATGTTAAACTTTCTTGCCATCACCCCTTTGAACATGCCATGTGTTTTCTAATGGGTTCCTGATGTGAAACAGAGTTGAAATGGAATTCATAAGTCTAAAGTGATGATCTAATTAAAAATACAATCTAAATGTACTATAAAAATAAGACGCAACATATCTGTTTAATGCATGGAAATGTTTGTTTCTTAGAACAAAGAATCAAGGCAAAGTTTTGCATATACTGGACATCTCTAAGGAAGACAAAAGCTTGGAGGAATAAACTCTTAGCAACAGAATCTTCTGACAGAAAAATGAAATAAGGATTAAAATATGACTTCATTTTCCCTCCACAATATTCCATTTTGCGTAGATATTTACAGTGAGAGTAAACTACTGCAATGTTTAATTTTCAACACTACTGAGGAAAAGTAGACAAATACATAAAAAAAGAAATATTTTAAATAAATTGAAAAAAATCATTTAAATCACTTGTTATCAAATGTCCTGAAGCTGTCCATATTGGTTAATGACTTCTCTGTCCATACATTGGCTAAAACTCTTATTTCCAAATAGGAAATTAACCAGTTCAACATGCGAAGATTAATAAAAGAACATCACACTATATAGTATGTTTCTATAACTTTAATGGTGTATATCATCTGTATTTCTTAAACTATCTACGCCAAAGTGATGTAACCATTTAGAGCTGGGCACTGATGGCTCACGCCTGTAACCCTAGCTACTTAGAAGGTTGAGATCTGAGGATCACGGCTCAAAGCCAGCCTGGACAGGAAAGTCTAGGAGACTCTTAACTCCAATTAACCACCAAAAAATTGGCAGTGGAGTTGTGCTCAAAGTGGTAGAGCACTAGCCTTGAGCAAAAGAGCTGAGGGACAGTGCCTTAGCCCTGAAGTCAAGCCCCACAATCACAAAAAAGCCCACAAACAAAAAAAAATTAGAAACTAATAAGATCCTAATGTACCTTGATAGCACTCCATGACTGAGTAGTTAAGAAGTCAACAGGACTTGGGAAAGTGTGTTCAACTGGGAATCGAAGCAGGAAATCCAGTTCAAGGGGGTCAATCTCCTTCTTTCTCAACAAAATCTTGAAAGCACCCAGAATGGAAAAGGATCATTTAGTTTACATAAAAACCACAACGCAGAAAGCAGTCACTATTGAATAAACATGATCAAATAGGCAGAGTTAAGTATGCTGAGAATTCTGGTAGATTTCCATTCTATAACTGAAATAGAGAATCTTACAATATGACTTTGATCTGAAAACCATGATGAGAAATAGGAAGGGCAAATTCATTCCAATTATAACACCTATGGCTATATGCAGCATGATTTGGATGGGTTTCCATGTTTAATCTTCTGTGAGCAGGTAATTTTGCTTTAAATCTTGTGATACAAAAGACAAAAGTTGTTGGGCACTGGTGGCTCATGCCTAGAATCCAAGCTACTTAGGAGGCTGAGATCTGAGGATCACAGTTTGGGCCTGGCCAGCGAAGTCAATATGACTCTTATCTCCAATTAACCACCAAAAAGCTGGAAGTGGAGGTATGTCTCACATGGTAGAGTGCCAGCCTTGAGCAAAAAAACTGAGGGACAATGCCCAGACCCTGAGTTAAAGTTCCAGTACTGGTGTGTGCATATGTGTACAGGCATGCACTCATGTATGCATACACATAGTACGTGTGTGCACAAACACATACACAAACACAAAGCAAAGTCTCCAGTGACAGTGGACTGAATTACTATACAGAGGACAGAACCAGAATCATGATTCTAGTGCAGGTATTCTAGCCAATGAACTGTAAGGTAATGAAAGGTCTTTCTTATATGACTATCTTGAAGAAATCAGAAATTGCCTAATAGATATGACTAAGTAAACACATCATTAACTGGAATAAATTTAAAACAGTGTGATTACAGAAATGATTATAAGTCCACAGTACATTTGGAGGACACAAAGAAATATTCCTGATTTCTACATGCAAACTAGAATACTCCACAGAGTCCGATGAAATTTTTGAGTTATATGCTATCAAAAAATTCCAGATAATCAGTGGTAATACGCAATTAGTAGTGCTTTATTTTATTGACTAATTCATCGTAATTAAATTTAATTTCAGCAAATAAATAATCATACCAATAGATCTGAGGATTTCATTTACATAAATGATCAGGTGTGAGATAGACTGCAATTTGTCTGTGGATTCCAAGGGACGTTTTAAATAGATATGCATGACATTAGTTACCATGCCTGGCTTTTTCCTGTTAGGAGCAATATACATTTTGTAATATTTTGTTTTGTAATGCCTTACTCCTGTCTATCATATATTCTAGAATCCTTATGTTCATATACTCTTATTAGATAACCTAATAGAATCTATAAATATAAAAAACACTAAAAGAGAAGTTGCAGCATACATTATACACAGCTAGTCTTCATGAGATGTTTTTCTTGGGCAAAGCCCTTTGGAAGACCCAAGATATGTAACACCCAGACGTTTCTTCCAGGCTTTAAATGGTAGAAAAAGCCAAATAGTAAGCTAGCTAATAAAAGAAATTTGATTTATATCAAACAGCTTTTCTTTCCATTCCCTTTCTTCTTTTTTTCTCTTTCTTTTCTTTTTCTAAGGCTTAAACTCAGGGCCTGGGCACTGTCCCTGAGCTCTTTGTGCTCAAAGGTAGCCCTCTAACACTTTGAACCACAGCACCACTTCTGATTTTTTGGTGGTTAACTGAAGATAAAAGAGTCTCACAGACTTTCTTGCCTAGGCTGGCTTTGAACCGTGATCCTCAGACCTCAGCCTCGTAAATAGCATGAGCCACTAGAACACAGCTAAAACACTTATTTAAACAAATCTTTTGTATAAGTCCATATGAAAGGAATAAAAGGCCAGCAGGTCACACTGAAGATGTGTACATGAGACCTTAATGGAGTTCTCTTTACCCATTCATGGCTTTGTAAATAGGTTATTTTGTTTTGAATTGACAAATATGTACAGAGTGTAATGTGATGCTTTGATATGTGTTTACATTGTGGAATGGTCCAACCAAGTTAATTAATCTATATATCACCTCATATGATAATCATTTGGGGAAGGCACTGAGATATAAATATAGTCTATTTTAGCAATTGTAAATGTACATTTTTGAGGTACTAGGATTATACTTAGGGCCTTGCCCTTGTTCCGCTCCTGTGGCTGGTGTTCTACCACTTGAGCCATGTCTTCAGCCCAGCATTTTGTTAATTATTGGAAATGTAACATCACAGACTTTGCTGCTCTGGCTGGCTTTTAACTGCGATCTTCTAGGTCTTGCCTTTCTGAGTAGCTATGATTACAAGTGAGCCACCAGTTTCTACATTATTTTTAACTATGTGGAATAGAATAGTATACAGCCTTTAATAAGAAAGGAATTCTTTCATTAGCCAAAACATGGATAAACCCATTCATTGTTTTTTGGTGGTGGTGTTTTTTAGGAGTCTGAGAAATTCATTAGGATCATTCAGATCTGGACTTATAACCCTGAACTCAGAGAATCTTTTTAGTAGGATCTGAAAGACTCTTCATAGGAACTGAGATGGATGTAAGACATTTCTTAAGGAGATGACTGTGGTGGTCGATTAATGTGAATACCCATCTAGACCAAAACATATGATGTAGGCAAAGGCTGGCATATGTTCAAGTTCATGCTCTCCTCAGATCACCAAGTCTTCCAAAGAGGTGTCTTTGCTTTAGCAGAAGTACATGCTGAACAGAGGCATCTGCCTCTGAGATGCTTCTAAGGGATGGATCTCCTTACCTGGAAAGCCATCTGAGACAAAAATGTGAGCTTATCCTTCTCAAATAGTGCCTGGGTGGTATAGAGGAAGATGGCGTGGGTGATGCTCTCCATCAGGACAGAGATGCGTCCCTGTGAGTCCTCCACCTTGTCAGCCTGCTCTATTGCTCTGTGGAACAGCATGTTGAAAGCCTGGGGAATGGAGGTGACCAGAAAAGGGTGACAATTGGTACTTGAATGTCCAGCTAGCCTCAAAGCTCTCTGAGGAAGGAGGAAGAAGGTAGGGTTTTTATGGAGATTACAAAAGCTCTCAAAACAGTTCCTGGCGCTGAGGAAATGCTCACTGTTGGCTTGCTGGCATCATGGTTGTTACTGATAGCTTTCTATAAAACCTACTTAGGTTTTCTTCCTAGAAACCGGAAGAGATTATTCTTTCTCCTTCCACATTTGTACTTTAAAAAAATGTTTTAAACATTTTAACCATAATAAAATACACAAGCATAAAACTACATTAAGTGTATAGTTCATTAATAGTTTTAAATATTCCCATTCTTACACAACCAATCTCTAGAATTTCTTTTCCTTAAACAACTTCCATTGCTCTCTGACATCCATCACTGTTCTTTCTGTGTCTAGGAGTTTGATTATTCTTTGTGAACTACATGACTGGAGTCCCATTTGTCTTCTGGTGATAGGTTTATTTCAATTAGATAATGGTCTCAAGGCTCAACCATATTGTAGCACATATCAGGTCTTACATCTACAAAATAGAAACTGGAGGGAAATGTCTCAGAATCTGAAATTGTTAGTTTAATAAAGGAAAATTATAGGCTCTATTGAGATAAGGTTGAAAAAACAACCTAAAGTCAATTAACAGTTTTTCTCCTTTTTCCCTTTTCACCAAAGAAATACGAAGAATCTTTTTCTAAGACTACTACATTCTCCAAGTCAAAAGCTTCAAAGAACAGTCCCTTACACAGAACAAATCCTAAGAGCATTAAGAACAAATACACAAATGTAATGTGATGTTATTTTACTGACAGTCTACCCACACTGCCTCACTGAAAAGGGAAATAAGATCCCCCAGAGTTGCTGGCCTGCTGCAGCTGCTGTTGACTAGACACTCAGGACTTCTGGATAAAGTCATTGCTCAGAAATAAATGAATTTCCAGGTACAAGTTGAAACTTCTGCTGTTTTCAGTTTTGAGAAACTTTGTGGTGTTTAACTTATTTAGCATTACCTTCAAAGAGAATTGATAGATGGGGTTGATTTTTCTGAGGTCATTAATAACAAAATAAAGCAGAGAGGCTCTGGCTGCCACGGGTCTGTAACACTCTCGGGCCTCGTTGATTTTCCTTTCATTTTCTCTTGCTTCCATTACCTATAGAGGGGCCAGACAAGGTGAGCAACTGATTCTATATACACATCCTTGGAATGAAAGGACATATCTGAGCATGTTTGCCAGGAGTGGGGCTTGAACCCAAGGCCTCAGGCACTCATGGCTGGCACTCCAACCTGTGAGTCCTATCTCCCCTTTCAGCTCTTGGTTGATCTCAAGGCTTTATCTGCTCCAGCTCGCTCTGAACTGCAATCCTCAATCTCAGCTTCCTGAGTAGCATGAGCCATCAATGCATGGCAGAAAAGGATTAGTATTGAAATTTATCTATTTATAATTTATCTATTTAAAAATATTAGCAGAAATTAATTGTACAAAGGGATTTCACTGTGATATTTACTATATGTCTTGTCAAGTTCTTTGATCAGATCCACATGACTGAAGATACTTTCTTTCTTAAATCCTCTCTCTTCCTTTTCAACAGTTAGATTCATACTGTTAAATTAAGTTTACGTGGGAATGGACATCGCTCTTGTGCTTTAAAACTACAGATTTAAACAAACCTAATGGTTTGGGGTTCTCCAGTATTTGTTTCTGAGGAATGTCACCTTCCTGCCTCCCGGTTGTCTTTCTGGGCTTAATAACCCAGCTCTATCACCTCCCAGGGATGGCTCTTAAAAAGTCTACTGGGTCAATTCAATGCCAATAAATTTATTAGGCAACAAGGCATCCAAAAGCAGCCAAGGACAATAATACAACCAATTGCCATGTTTACTAAAATGCCTTTATGTGAAGACTCTCATGACTATCTTATTCTAATGGTACCAAATCATCCATATGCTCACATAGTTCCATTTGTTTTTATGTACCAACCTCTGGGCACACTCACAGAGTGTGTAATTAAGAGGAAAATCCACCATCACCAAATGATTCATTTTTGCTCAAAGGTCAAAAAAAAAAAAGTCTGCTTCTTTCAACTAGGGCTATTTACTGCTGGGTTGATAGCTTTATAAGGTACAATGTTTTTCCCCCAAGAATTTCTTTAGACTTGATTATTTGTATAGAAAGAAAAAGAAAATGTGCAGCTAAGAGGGAAGTCAATACATGGTTATATATAAAGAAGATAGGAAGCAACCTTTTAAGAGACAATTAGAAGTTGACTTTAAAGCTAAGACTTAATTTGCTTAATTGCCCTAATCTTTACTATCTGAGGAGCCACCTAGAATTCACTTACTAGAAAAAAAAAGTAGTGTAATTTGGGATTCCATTTCCTTGCTTAATTTAAGACACATGTATTGAATGTATGGTGACACAGTTTCTGCTGGGTAATTAATAGATTACTCAGTAATGAGGATATTCTAGAAGGCAAGCAAAGGTCTAATAATGAACATTAAAGAGTCAGTGGTCACTTGTGAGAGTCTCAAGTGCATTCACACACTTGGCACATCAGGACTCCTGAGGCATGTTTAGCAGGAGGCCTACTTAATGAAGGCCTTTACTTGCTTTTAGGAAGTATCATTTTCCCGGGGCTAAATAATATATTTTTAAATGGCAAGAGATGAACCCTTACTCCTGCCATCAACAGGCCTGAAATAAAACTTCAGCTCTAAGAATTTCTCTAACATTTCTTCCAACAGAAGCCAGGTGCCAATAATCACTCCTGTAATCCAGGCTACTCACAAGACTGAGGATTGCAGTTCTATGTCAGTCCAGACAGAAAAGTCCCTCTGAGACTCTGTATCCCTAATTAACCACCAGAAGGCCAGAAGCGGTGCTGTGGATCAAAGTAGTAGAGCACTAGCCTTGAGCAAAAGAGCTCAGGGACAGCGTCCAGGTGCTGAGTTCAAACCCTATGACTGACACCCCCCCCCCCGCCAAAGTGTCCAAAAACAGACTGGGTAACTTTCAAGGAGAGACTATAGAATATTGTCATGAGCAATTAAAATGCCTTTTGAGATGTTCTGGCTTGTAAGTTAACAGGCTCCAATTTTCTTCAAGTCTTGTTACATGAAGCTCTGATTTGATTCCTCAGTACAGAAAAAGCCAGAAATGTGGTCATTGCTCAAGGGTGGACTGCTAGTCTTGAGCAAAAGAAGCTCAGGAACAGTGCACAGGCCCTGAGTTCAAGCACCAGGACTGTAAAAAAAAAAAAAAAGGAAAAAGAAAAAACAAAAGAAAAAGAATATGAGCCTACCATATCTACCTTGGTTGAACTGCTCTCTGTGGCATTGGAAGGGCAAGCGCGACACTTTCATCACCATCCTAATCTGTTAAGTGACCTGAACTCCACAGACCATCAGTCCTCTCGAGGGAATTGCTACGTTTGAATCCCAGACTGCCCCCAAGTACTGCACCCGCTGGTGTTCTTCACCCATTCTGACCTGGCGCTCTATTTCTGCTGCAGTGGCCTTGGTTGTTTCCAATCTCTCCACCAGGTCTGTGTCATCCAGGAAGCTCCCCTCTGCTGCAGAAAGGCGCAGGAGCAGGTCATCCTCCAAGAGCTTCAGCTCTATCTTAAAGTCATTTTGGTGTTTTGTCAAGACCAGCTGATGTAAACCAAGAAATGCACGAGACACAGTGATTAAATACATGTTTAAGTGGAGTTTTTAATCCCAAACTTCTCGGGGCTAGTATAGGTATAATGAAACACAACATTGAAGCCATATTACTCTTAATTTTAACTAATTCTTTTCAAACACTTAAAAGGCATAGCAAGAACTGCTTAGAACACCATTATCTGGAGATTGAACCCTTGTCAGAACCATTTATATCATGAACCACTAGGAAGAATTTGTGTAGGAAGAATTTAAAAACTTCTGGTTTCTCCTCTGACATATAAAAGGCCTGGAAATTTCACTCTGTTCTCACAATGATAAAAGGCTAAGCAACAATTCTACTACAGAACCGAGGTCACAAGACCAACTGCCATCCTGAAAATTGTGTAAGTGAAATAGATTAAAACTATTGGAACATAGATCGAAACTGGTCAGTGGCTGGAGACAGAGCTAGACAAATGCCCTGCCAGAGTTCTCACAGTAAAGGCAGAAGAAAACATACTTCTGCCTTAAACAGGGGTAAATAATTACTTTGTGATAAACTCAGGGGAAAAGTAACAATTTTAGGTAGGTCCAGGGTTTTTTGTTTTCCCTAACAAAAACCTGCACACCAGGGAAACTACTTTGCCAGGGCTGGGACCTAGGGGGAGGCCAATTAGACAACTCCAGCACCTCATGACTCCCTAACTCTCCTAGGAAGGGAGAGAAAAGGTTGAGAAACTCTTTTGAAGATCACAGACTAGAAACCAGAGTCTACTAAAAAAAAATCCTTGAGAATTATCTACAAGATTATAGAATTCTAAGACTCCAGAACCATAATCATGGAAGCTGGTATACTTACAGTAGATTGTTAACAGAGAGCTGCAAGACTCAAATTCTATTTAAGAAAGGAGGTTCAGGGAAATTCAAAACAAAAAGGAAGCTAAGATTAAGAATTCTAGAAGACATTGAAGGCTATACCATCTATGGCTACAGGAAACATTTAAACACAGCTATATAAACATAAAATTCTACACTGAAACACTAAAACACTATCTTGGTTCCAACTATCCAATATATATTGTGATTGGCTTTCAACAAAAATGCAAAAAGACATGCTAAAAGGCAAAAGACACAGTCTGAAGAAACAGTGCAAATCTCAGAACAAGATGCAGGAGTATCACACCTGCAAGCTTAGCTATTCAGGAGGCTGAGATCCAAGAATACAGATTCTAAGTCAGCCAACGCAGGCAAATCATTGTGACTCTTATCTATAATTAATGAGCAAACCTCTGGAAGTAGAGACAGGACGCAAGTGATAGTGACAGCTGTGAGCAAAAAAGCTGAGCAAGAACACAAGGCCCTGAGTTTAAGCTCCAGGGCTGGTATAATAAATGAAACAAAATGCAAGTATGGCTGGATGTATAAATTATTGCAGGGAAATTAAAAATGATGAGGTGTCATATACTAAGAGCTCCAGTGAAGAAATGGACAACACACAAGAGCACGTGGGAAATAGATGAGCAGACAGATAAAAAAGCTCAGTGAACCAAAATAGAATACTAGAAATAAAAACACCAAAGCAAAAATGAAGCATGCTTTGATGGGCTCAATGATAGGCTGGTCATGGTCAATGATAGGCATGGTCAAGGAAAGATATCTAGTAGAAACTTCTCTGAAGAAAATCAAGAAAACTTCAAAGTTCAGAAGGCAAAGAATACCCAAAATCTATTAGATAACATACGTGTAACAGGAATACCAAAATGAGGGAAAAAAGGTTAAAGAAATATTGGGAGTAATCACAGCTAAACATTTTCAAATTTAATGATGGAAACCACAGAATGCCAAGAAGTCTACATCTAAGACACATAACATTCAAACTGCAGAAATCCCAAAGCAAAGCACATAATCTTGAAAGAATCCATGGTGGTAGAGAAACACCTTACCTATGGAGGGAACAAACATTGATAGACATACCAGAGAATTCCTGTAGTGAAACCGAACGAGGAAGAAAATGTAAAACATTGGGGGTGGGGGAGGTAACCAAACTAGATTTTTGTCTCCCTGTCAAATTACCCTTCTAAAATAAAAAAGAAACATAAGTCTGCGTAGACAAACAAAAATGAAAGAATTTTGCTGCAGTTGACCTGTTTGACCATAGACATTTTATTCACTGACCTGTTTATTCAAAAGTATGAGAGCAGAAACATATCCAGTGGATTCTTTTATGCCTTGGACCTTAGGTAAATAAACTGAATGACAGTAATGTTGTAAGGGTGGGGAGGAGAATGGTCTCTGCAATACCTCTGAAGCAGTTTAGTATATCTCAACACGAACCTAGATTGGTTGTAAGTGTATCTTAAAAACACTAAGGCAACCACTGAAATTGTTTTTTGAGTATAATTTCCATGCTAAGGGAGAAGAGATTTTGGAATCATGTAAAATCCTCAGTTGAAATCAGAGAAGGCAGAGAGAAAAAAGATATAAACAAACCCAAACAAGTAAAAATGTGACAAAGATGGCTGATAGTAATCCAATTCTATGAATAATCGCTTAGAAAGTGAGTTGTTTAAATGAATTAAAAAAACGGCATAGACTGGGAGAGCTTATTAATGACAAGACCCAATGAATGTTGTTTGCAAAGCCCAACAACTATTTTCCCTCTTTTACTAACATATATTAATTGGACAAAAGTGCATATCTTTGATCACATTCGCCCCCTCCATTATTCTTTCCAATTATGACAGTTGATAGACGACCTAAAAACTTGTAGGAACTCAATGTCATTAATCAACTGGATCTAATGACGTATTAAAAAACAAAAACTTTCAGGGCTGGGAAGGTGGCTCAGTGGTAGAGCACTTGCTTGCCTTGCATGCCTGAGGCCCTAAGTTCAATTCCTCAGCACCACATAAGCAAAAAGAAAAAAGCCGAAGTGGCTCTGTGGCTCAAGTGGTAGAGCGCTAGCCTTGAGCTGAAGAGCTGAGGGACAGTGCCCAAGCCCAGAGTTCAGGCCCCACGACCGGACCCCCCCCCCAAAAAAAAAACTTTCAACACTATCTCACAATGGAACATTTTCACAAAATGGATCAGAGAGTGAGCCACAGAACATACTTTACAAAGTTTAAAAGAATTAAAATCATAGAAAGTATGCTTGTGCAGCACTACAACATTAAATGAGTTGTCAACACATAGGTAGAAGGCAGAAAGGCCAGGAAAACTAGGAGAACAACGCACTCAAGCATTTTTTCCCCATTCCTCTTCTACTCCCTTGCCCCCTTCTCCCATTCCAACCCCTTTCCAACCTCTTCTTTCTCATCACCATCTTGGCACCAGTTTAGTTCATGTCCAAAATATACCAATACCCCCTCCTCTTGGCCACTAATCAGAGTGTCAGAGTTGCTTGCTCTAAGGACTGAGCAACACAAACTGGACAATATAGAAGTAAAGGGTTCCCATAGGTCAGCCAGGGTGCACCAGCAGTGCCCAAGCCTTTATGGAAAAAGTCAAGACATAAATGAGTCAGCTCACGAAAGAAAACACTGATGATGGGAAAGAGAGGAGCCCCCTCTTCCAGTAGTCCCCAGAGACCACAGACCACTTCCTTCTTGAGCTGTCCTATCTTCACCCTACTTGCCTCTATACCAATGACACTCAACTTATGACCCAAAAGCCAGCACCACTCTCTATTTTCTTACCTTAAGTTTCTCCAAATCTGGCCTTTCAATACTGACTACCTCTGCCAGCAGCTGGGCTTCAAGACCATCTTCTGTGACTGTGAAATTGAGGAGGGTTGTCTGAGCTTGCAGTTCTGGCTTATAGTGAGGATTTGCCAGTTTGGTGTGAAGGATGAGGCGGAAGTTCTTGTTAAATTCACATTCTTTATCTCCAATTTTGATATACCTACAGGGGACATAACACAAGTGGTTAAGAGAGGCCTGGAACAGATGCTCAGGCATCATTCCATTCCTGTAATCTGATAGTGTGTCAGCCAAAAGACAGGAGAGTAAGGTTCCCACTGCTCTCAGTTTTCTTAAAAGATAGGACTAAAAGTTACTGTGAAAGCTCTGCATGACCAAGAAACCTCATATGAGAAATGGTGACAGCAATAGCACTCTCCTTGTAATGTCAATCGAACACTTAAATACAATCAACCTTACAGCAGCAAATGTTAGCTTTTAATATCTTTCCTGTGATTAAACTTATACTAAACATCGTCAATCTTTGTTTCCTTGCAGAAGATCCTATTATTTTCATAGCAAAACACTGCTATTCTTTACGGATAACACAGGGATGTAAGTTTCAACGTAAATGTATATACATATATACATGCACACATGCATATATATCTGCATATGTATATATACATGTAGAGTACATCTCTATTTTTAAATGCATTAATGTGTAAAGTATTACTGTACAATAAATCATTACCATATACATACATTTTGTCATTAAAATGTATATTTTATTTTTCTAAAAGTAAAATATTAAAAATATATACATAATTAACCTTACTTTTTACTCTCTTCAGCCTCTTTTATGTTCTCTTTTTTGCTAGGATCCTGCTATTTGTATTGCATTAGATAAGAACTTTTCAGTTCATGCAATAGCCAGGACAGATAGAGAAACCCAAACCATGCATACTGGCACTTCTCAAACTTTTTAGGTAGCTAGAACTTCACAGGATGAAGAGTCATGTAAGCAGCTGGCCAAAACAAAAAAGATCTGTCTTCTGTTGTATCTTAACATCTCCCTATTAAGTGTATAGGACTTATGGATTGCAGGGATGCTATCATCAAAATGATAGGATTTTATGCAAAGCCCATGTAATTTTTAATCTAAACATAATAGTTTAAGCCACAAGAAGAGAAGACATATTTACTACCAGTTTCATTGACATACAGGTGAAATGGTATTTCACTACTTTGATCAAGTTCAGAAAATCAAGTATAGTCAAAAGAAAAGACACTATGGAACAGGTTGAGCATTTACTTGCAACAATTAACAAATAGTGGGTGAGCTATCAGAATAAAATAATGCAGCAATTTCAAGAAAGTTGTTGGGGGGGTAGATGTTGTTTAAATGTATCTTAGTCACAGAAGGATGGTGTCTGAGATGTATTGGTCACTCTACTTGCATGGAGAAATTTTCATGAGAAAATTCCTTAATGTAAAGAGATTATAAAGAAGTATAATTTTTGACAGGGGTCAGTGGCTCATGCCTATAATCCTATTTAGGAAACTGAGATCTGAAAATTGCAGTTTGAAGCTAGCTTGGGCAGATAAATCTTCAAGTACTTATCTCTAATTAACCAGCAAAAAGCCAGAAGTGAAGGGATGGCTCCAGTGGCTTAGTGCCAGCTATAAGAAACATAGCCAAAGGAGAGCACAAAGCCCTGAGTTCAAGCCCCATTACCAACAACTCTGCAAAAGGGTAATTTTCCTATGTTACTAAAGCTTTACTAACCTGAAAATGAATGTTTTAAATCTCAGAGGATAAAACTCATCAGTATTCCAAAGTGATTGTTTCCAGGACCACATGTGGACAGCAGAGCCGCGGAGGCTCAGGTGCCTTCAGTTGGGTCTCCTATACCCATGGGTGCAGAATCCACAGATAGAGAGGCTCCCTTGTGTACTATAATGTATGTGAATCTGAAAAACCTTAGGCCTACCTTAGTCACAAAAGATCACACATTGTATCATTCCACTTATTGGAAATGTCCAGCCTGAGCAAATCAATAGTGACAGAAAATAGATTAGTGGGTACTTAGGACTTTTAATTCTGAAACTGATTATGATGATGGCTATCCAAATCTGTGAATATACTACATACTAATGAACTATGTGCTTTAATTGTACACTTGAAATGGATCAGATATTATGTGAGTTATATATCAATAGAAATCTTGAAAAAAATTAGAAGGTCAAATCATTCACATATGAATTTTTATCATTAGGTCAGCTTAGCAACCATGTCAACTGTAGCTTCTCAGAGGCTCATTCTTATCTTTTGAGTACAATGAAGCATGTCACAGCATGGTCGCATTGACAAGGACACTTGTTCTGTGTGTGTGTGCATGTGCATGCATTGCATATGTGCATGAGTACCAATGTTTGAACTCATTCATCATGCATTCTCTTGGCCTTTTCTTTCATCACTGGCATTTACCCTTTGGTTCTGATTTTTACTGGTTAGAGATAAGAATTTTGCAGATTTATCTGCCCAGTCTGTCTTTGAACTTTGATCCTCAAATCTTGGCCTCCTGATAACCTGCTCACCCCACCCCCCTTTTTTTTTTGATTGCCAATACTGGGGCCTGAACCCAGGAACTGGGCACTGTCCCATAGGTTTTTAAAAAAATTATTATTGTAAAAATACCATACAGAGGGGTTACAATTACAGGGGCAAGGTAATGAGTACATTTCTTATCAAGCATTGTTGCCTCCTCCTTTGTTTGTCCCATAGGTTTTTGCTCAAGGCTAACGTGCTACCTCTTGAGCCACTGTTGCACTTTTGTTGTTGTGCTAATTGGAGATAAGAGTCACAAAGACTTTCCTACTTAGGTTAGCTTTGAGCTATGATCCTCAGATCTCAGCCTCCTCAGTAGCTAGGATTACAGATATGAACCACCAGTGCCTGGCTAGCTTGTGCATGCACTTATGTGTGCTCGAGTAGGTGTGTGTAGACATGGCTAGCCTGGCCCTGTTTTGAGTGACAGCATACTCAACCAGATCTGTAGTGGAGAGAATCATTAAAACTTCCATCACTTGAGCTTTCCTTTGTACAGAGTTCCAAAATTGTTCCAACAAATACATCTGAGGAAATCTCTGCTAGTACTGCTCACTAATTGCTCTAGTCTAGTCCTCACAATTGCATATTTTTCTTAAGTGAACTTCAAGAGTGTCCATGTCATGGGTCTTGCATTTAAATGAGACATCAAAGTTTGCATTTCCATAATGGAGCAAGCACATACACACCTGTGTACATTCTGTGTAAATTTCTGTTTGTTACTCCATCTGGAGACTCTCAGAGAATGCAACATCTGGCAAAAACTTCCATGGTATCCAGTTGACTTTTCCCTCACTGGCTGATTTATTTTCACTAGATTTAAGTTTGTATTTCATAAACTTCATGTTCTAATCACAGAGTAAGACAATTTAGTATGTTTGTGTTTTAACACTTTAAATTGAGACTCAGCCCTGGTAATCTTACAGAGACTGAGCTCTGGATGATTGAAATTTAAAGCTAGCCTAGGTAGGGAAGTATGTAAGTCTCTGTCTCCAATTAATTAGCAAAATGTTGGGATGGAGGTGTGGCTCAAGTAGTAGAGTGCTTGTTGTGAGCAAACAAGCTGAGCAAATGCAAGGTCCTGAGTTCAAACTCTGATACTGGCCAAAATTGAAGAACTCTAAAGCAAGATTAAAATTTTCTTGATTAGAATTTTCATGATTGTTGTGCTCTTATGGGACAGCACTTATGCCAGAATTGGGAATTATGGGTAAGAAGTTAATTTTGAGACAATCGTGGTGTATATCAATGCTATGTGTGTCCCCTTGTGTACATAAGAATAAAAGCAAATCACTAGCAATGTAACATCTTTTTTAAAGTACTGTTAGAAAAATCTAGATCTTTTGGAGCACCAATGTGATGCCAGAAGTGGAAAATTGTACCCTGACTCAACGTGAGGGGTTACAGTCAAGAATAAGTGCACTAAAAATACTGTATAAGGGAGGAACTAATGCAATAGTAATATATACAAGACAACATGTTAGACATGGTCTGTACAACTTGGGGATGAGGGTGGGAGGAGGGAAAGTAGGAGAAAGATGAGGGAAGGGGCAACAAGTTTGACAAGAAATGCATTTATTACCTTACTTATGTAACTGGAACCTCTCTGTATAGCACTTTGACAATAAAAAAAGTGAGCAGTGCAAATAAAAATTGTATAAAATGATCACGTATATGAGGCACACACAAAGCATAAATAAACTTTCATCATTAGACACTTGGGTTGCATCCTCAAAATGTCTCCTTATATATAAGCAAATATCTTAAAAATTTTAAACTAAAAATCTGAAACACCTCTGGTTTGAATATTTCAGATAAAAGGTACTCACTCAGCCTGTAACAAATGTTAGGGCTTAGTGCGGAATTCCTCTAAAAGGGGAGGGAAAACCTGTCATAAGAGGACCGAAGCAAACATTTCAGGCTCCATGGGTACAGACATCGTTGTCATCTATGGTTCTCATGTACAACCCTTTCAATATCATTCTCAGCTGACTGGTCCTGCAAGGTAGGTCATTTGCCTGCATCTCTCTGTTTCCTTAATTTTTTTTTACTTTAAGTACTTGTACAAATGAGTTTCATTTTCACAAGACAGACTATGAGCACAACACATCTTGGTCAATGTCACACCTTCCATCCTTCTCCCTCATTATCTTTCCCAATCCCATCCAGACCCTTAAATTATGTAGTTCAACTTTTATATCATGAAAATTGAACATGGTGGCTGTATTTGGTCACTCTTGCCCCTCCTAGCACGTCTCTTCAAGATGGTGCTTCCAGGGTAATTTCTTCTCAAAGCATTATTAGCTAGTGCTTCCAATCAACAACTACAGGAAAATATCTCCCCCTATCTGAATTCTCAAGGAAAAGAACTTCCACAAACAAGGCCAACTTGGCACATGGGGCTCTGATAATATTCAGAAGATTTAGGGTGAATATTTTAACTGGTTAAATATTTAGCCAAAACTCTGAGCTACAGCCATGCTCTATAAGACTCTTGGTGTTACTCTGGCTGTGTATCTCCCTTGTAGGCATTCACGCATCCTGAGACTCTAGCAAACCTGAGTTGGAGAGCCATACACATTACTTTGATAGGTCTTATTTCCTCTGTGAGG